GAAAAAGTAAGCGGCAAAAAAGAGGGGGCTGGGGTTGTGGCGCAGTGGCAGAGCATTTGCCTAGCATGTGTGAGGCACTAGGTTCCGATTCTCAGCGCTGCATATAAATGGATAAAATAAAGGTCCACTGATGACAAAAAAATATTAAAAAAAAAAAAAAGAAGTGGCAGGACCCAGGAACTATCTATCTTCACGTTGGGAGTTGGTCCCTGCCCTCAGAGGCTTTCCCTGGGGCTTCAGGATTAGGGTTAGGGTTAGGGTTAGCATTAGTGGCGCAGAGTGTGCATGGACCTGGCTTTAGGATGATTTCTCTTGAAAACAAATGTCACCTTCAGAACACTGTTCACTGGTGCTCCTGGCGCTTCTCTGTGGCTCACCTGGCCCTGAAACAGTAGTTCCTCCTCCCCCTCGGCCGAAGGAACTATCTCACCAACACTCTGAACAAGTGGAGCCACAGCCCTTCCTAATGTCAGCACAGTGAGAGAAAAAGGAAATAAAAAGCCCTCGGGAGGGGAAGAGGAGAGGCCTGATCCTAACTGACCTAGGTGCTGGGGCCATGCTGGATGACGGCCACAGGTTCTGTCACCTCCCACCAGCTACCCCTGTACCCTGCGCCAGTACCTGCGTGTGAACACTCCTAGTCCCCGCCTGGCCACCATGATGACCCTGCAGTTACTGGAAGGCGTGGACCATTTGGTCCAGCAGCGCATCGCACATAGAGACCTCAAGTCGGACAACATTCTGGTGGAGCTGGATGCAGGTAGGCTCTGGCCTACCCTCAGGCACTGCGGGGAGCTGGGGCATTAGGACCCTCAGGGTCCGTTTTGATTCTTATGCTCTGTCCTAAGTCATCTTATCCTCACTTTGCTCCATTCACACGAGACAAGCAGCCCCTCCTCCAGAGGCAGGCTCTCTGTAACAGCTCCCAAGTCCCTCCCCATTGCCCACTTCTGGAACAAGAACCTAGTGCTGCATTTATTATTTATTGTATTATTATAAAAAACTTTATTTGAATTTTTCTTGAATAAAGTAGAAGAAAGATGATTTTTGGCTCAATAAAACAAAGAAAACAAAAAACAGTTTTCAAATAGCAAGAGTTGTCCAAGTGCCAGCCCAACTGCCCCTGGAAGCAATGAGCCTCCAATCCCAGAAGCATTCAGGCAGAAGCCACGTGCCCAGGATGCTGCAAAGGAGATTCACACATCTGATAATTCTTGAAATGGAAGATTTAGAAGAATTAAATGTGCAATTAAAAGACTAAAAAACCTAGCTTTTTAAAGAAACCATTTGAATTCTTTTTACAAATAACCAATTCCTAATGCACCTGTTTTTTAGATTTATTAGGGTTTCAAATTCAGATGCAAGACTCCTGGGGTAGAAGTGTCCTTAGGGATCATTGGAGCCAAGCCAGCTCCCCTGGTCTTGGGACAACCCCAATTACCAGAAAATCAATCATTAGACAGTTACTTAGATGGAGGCCAACTTTTATCTAGTCCTTTGCCTGGGGACTCTGTGGGCCTTTTCTCCTGACTGGCACCTCCACGTCCCTGGTGTGGCTCTCCTATTCTGCTCTGGGTGAGCCAGCTCCATCCAGGCCTTGCTGGTCTGCACTCCTGGGCCAGTACAGTCCCTGTTAGCTCACTGACCCATATCTTGGTGGCTCTCATAGGGACCTGAGAGGTTCTGAGAGGGAAGAAGGGTAAGAAGGGGTGGCTTACCTCTGCCTGCTCCTTCACAGACGGCTGCCCCTGGTTGGTGATCTCTGATTTTGGCTGCTGCCTGGCTGATGAGCGTGTGGGCCTGCAGTTGCCTTTCACCAGCTGGTACGTGGACCTGGGCGGGAACGGCTGCCTCAGGGCTCCAGAGGTGAGTCTCACCATTAGCATCCTCCTTCAGAAGTGTTTCACCATGTTCTCCGTAAGCGACAGAAGAGACCCCAGGTTCCCTCCTTGTCACGGTGCTTTAACCTGGGTCTCCCTGCTGTTCCCAGTGTCTGTTTTGCCAGCATCCAGTCGGCAGCCTCAGCAGATCCTTCTAGGTCTAAGCCAAAAGTCACTTGATCCTGGGCTCCTCTGAGTTCAGATTAGCCCCAGGCTTGGGTGACAACACAGGAGCATGAACAGGTAAACCTGCCAGTGGCATGACCTCTCATCCTCCACTTCCCGAGCAGGTATCCACAGCCTGTCCTGGCCCCAGAGCAGTGATTGACTACAGCAAGGCCGACGCCTGGGCGGTGGGAGCCATCGCCTATGAAATCTTCGGGCTCGCCAATCCCTTTTACGGCCAGGGCAGGGCCCACCTTGAAAGCCGCAGTTACCAAGAGGCTCAACTACCAGCACTGCCCGAGTCGGTGCCTCTAGACACCAGGCAGCTGGTGAGGGCATTGCTCCAGCGAGAGACCAGCAAGGTGAGGCTGTCCCCCGGCTCTCAGGGTGACTCTGTGGATCTCAGTTCACGCTCTAGAGCAAACTCAGACTTGGATAAATGCTAAGGCACCAGGCAGAGCCTCTGTACTGCACAGGTAAAGGCCAAGTCCAGAACACGGATCTATTTTGAATGAACAGAAGCAAGGGAGCTGGCCACCAGATCTAGTCAGAATTCCAGCAGTTCAACTCTTCTTGGCTTTTTAATTGTTTTACTTTTAGCTGTGCCAGGGATTCAAAATGGGATCTCACACATGTCGGACGAGTGTGCCCCCACTGAGCTGCATCCCCAGCCCTTCTGGGCTTGTTTAGTTTCTTAGCTACTCAGACGGAAGAGGATGCATTTTTGAGAAATGGTTAATGGAGACGTAACCTATGCAAATAGCTGAGATCTAAACAGACAGATGTGAGAATACAACTCCAGAGCGGATATGGAAGTTACTGTAAAGAGACACAAAGGCCAGTGTATTTGAAGCCATATTGGAGCAGCAGGTGCACTCCTTAGTGGAAGGAGCTGAGGCAGCCTCAGCCGCTGTCGCACCGCTTCCTGCTGACCTCTCGCTGCACAGGGCCTGCTGTCTTGGTCACAGCAGGTGCTCAGTAAAGGCCTGTTAGACTAGTGCCTGAACCCAGTTATCAAGTGATGAGGGCTGCATACCCCAGCCTGGTACAAGGGACCATACAGAGCCATACCCACTGGCCTTCCGTGCCTGAAGGCCATCCCAACGCTGCACGGGCGGCCATTCGCAGCTATACATTTGCAAAGGCCTGGAGCCTGGGCAGAGCTGCCAGTATGTGTCAGCAGAGGGAAGGGTCTCAGGAAGGGGCAGGGCAGAGGGAGACTTGGATTGGGGCCAGAGAAGGGACACTAATAAAGTAGGTGCTGTCCTGAGCCTCAGCTTCCCTTCCTCTTGCAGAGACCATCTGCCCGAGTAGCTGCAAACGTGCTTCATCTGAGCCTCTGGGGCGAGCACATCCTAGCCCTGAAGAATCTGAAATTAGACAAGATGATTAGCTGGCTCCTCCACCAATCAGCTGCTGCCCTGTTGGCCAACAGGCTGGAGAAGAGCTGCGTGGAAACAAAGCTGAAGGTGCTGTTCCTGGCCAACCTGGAGTGTGACGCGCTCTGCCAGGCTGCCCTCCTCCTCTACTCCTGGCGGGTAACCCCCTGATGGCTCTGTGCCAGCTGGTGTGTTAGTAAAGGACTCAGTGGCATCTGTGTGGTGGAAGTGTATAGTGTCAAAGGAGAGTGGGGGTCAGAGGACAAGCTGGCGCAGGGAGGCTGGTCAGCCAGGGAAGGCCTTGGGTTTGGTAGGAACTACTTGAGTCAAAGTTCAGTTTGCGGCCACTACCTCCAGCCGTGCAGGTTTGGATGAAGCTCATGCCCTCTGTCAACTTGGCTTCTCCTACCTGTAAAATCAAGATGTTGGTCTCTATCAGAAACACCCTCTGTAGAGGGCCAGCTAGTGAATTAAGCTATTGCAACTAATCAACTCAGTAATGCACGAAAGCAGCATAACAACCAAATGGGACTGTTCTGTTAGGGCTTTATTTATGGACACTGGAATTTGATTTTCATGTGTCACCAGATTGGCCCACAGGCCAGTTGCCAGGCCTGGTCTGGTGAACTCATAGGGCTCACTCTACAAAGCATGCTTCCCGACAGCGAGGTCCCTCTGTATCGGTGATAAAGATGTGAGATTCCCTGCATGAATCCAAGGGACTGCAGTGTCACCCAGGTGGGAAATCATACTCTGTCATTATTCACCAAGAAGTCCAACCTTAAGGCCCTTTTCTGGCCTCATAGACCTCTCAAAGTGATGGCCCAGCGGGTCTGTAGGAGGATTCTGGGCTAAGGGAGATCAGACCTGTGCTCGGCAGCATGAAGGATCCAGGCCAAGGCAGTGGCGGGGGTGGCAGAATTTGTGACATTTGCCCTTAGTGCTGAGGATGGACTGTGGTTCTTCTGGAGGGGGGCCTGGCACCAGTTGGTATGTGCCACCTGGGCTGAGGCAGACATCTGCATGGTCAGTATATTCAGGGGTCAGCACAAAAAAACATGAAAGTGAGGTGCCCCTTCTGGACCAGTTCTGGAATGCACAGAGAAAGCCTTTCCCGTGTTCCTCTAGCTACTGAGTTAATCTAACATTGCCAAGATCACTGATGAAATGGAAATTAACAGTGTGGCATCTTAAACTTGTTATTTCCCTTTTGACTAGCATTTCTGAGATATTAAATACAAATTTACAATGCAGAGTATGTACGTGCTGAACTCAGTATTTTGCTTTCTGAATGAGTATTACACCCTGATGGGAAAATTTTGTGGACACATAACATCAGGGAAGAGTTTCCACATTTAACTGCACACGCTTTTTGTGTGTGGTACTAGGGACTGAACCCGGGGCATGCTACCACTGAGCTGGGGAACCTCCTGCCTCAACCTCCTGAGTCACTGCAATTACGGATGTGTGCTGCTGCACCCGCTTAGACACATGCTTTTAAAGTTATAGCCTTCAGCGAGGTGAATATATATTTAAGGTTCTTTTCAACCAAGGTACTAATTTTTTTAGTCCAGCATCTGTATTAACAACTTTATTTTACCCTTTGAGGAGAAGTTAGGATCATTTCCTAGTTGAGTCTTGGCAAAACTAAAAGGAGCCACTTATTAGTGGGCATCTAGGGATGCGTGAGAGCAAAGCAGGCTCGGGCAGGGAAAGTGTGGGGGCAACAGTTCTCTTTATTTTAGAAATGGGAGTGACTGCACATATGAAAAACACCACAATTCAAGGTGGAAAAAAATGCATAAAAAATGATTCTCTGGCCCCTCCCCCTGGTGCTCAACGCTGCACCCCCCGACTGAGGTAAGGCTGTGCCGTTTCCCACGGCTTCAGAACAAAACAAACAAAACGAGATCACCAACCCGCCCTGGTAAAAACCCTCCGCTCTCCGCTGCAGAGTCCCGGGCTCTGGCCCCTCAGTCAGACTTCTCCTTCTCCTTCATGTGTAAGAAGACGATGCTGAAGATGAAGAGCCCCGCCATCATGGAGAAGGCACTGGCATAGTAGGGATAGGCCGAGGGGATGAAGCGCTCATACTGCGTGTGCTGGAGTGGCCTCACTGACACCTGCAACAGGACAAAGTTGGCAGTCCCTGGCCACTGGAGGCCTAGGCAGGGAATTGCTGGCTGAAGAAGGGACTGCCCGCTGTGCATACCTGAGTGGAAGAGTACAGGTGGGTGTAGCCCAGTCGGTTGTAATCCACTTTAAACTGGAACACACCGTACACGTCGGGCAACTTAAACTGGACGCTGTATTTGCCACCTGGGGAAGAAGTGACACCAGGGGTTTACCTGAGTGTTTCTCTGCCAGGCCTCATGGAGGCTAGCACAGGTGTGGGCTGCCCCCTGCAGCCTTCTCTGGCAGGAACTGCCTACCTTTCCTCTTCAAGAAGGTCCTCACGAAAGGATCTATGCGAACAAACTCCAGCTGAATGTCATCACCATCAAAAGGGACCCACCTGCCATTGGAGAGCTGCTCAATCACGATGCTGTACTCCTGAGAGGAAAGGCTGGGTCAGCCGGGGCTGCCAGGGGCTGCAGGGTGCCACACCTGCAGGCAGTGCTGCCCGTGACTCCTGCCCTCCCACCACGGCAGGGAGCTCCCGAGTCCTGCAGCCCGTGGGAGTCCTTCCACCGTCCTGCGCTCCTCAGCAGGGCCAGTGCCCGCAGCACCTCTGCCTGACCAAGGTGCTCGGCACAGAATCCCTGGCCATGGACGTCGACCATCCATGGAGGCCCTTTCCATTCCCAGATGCGCCGGCTCTGTCACTGTCCTCATGCCTTGCTTTGCTTCTCTTGCCTGACAAACTCATCCTAAAAGCCAACTGAAATGCCGTTTCCTTATAAACCTGACTTCCCGGGCAGTGAAGTGGTGCGCCCCCCTCCCATGGTGACACACAATCTTCAAAACGAGGCCTTCTGCTAGACATGGGTTAGTGCAGGCTCCACACCTAGACTGACAACCTTAGGGACAGAGGTGAATGTCTTCATCCTACTTTATGCCCCCAAGCCCAGGCACCAAAATGACCCACAAATGCTTCTGAGTCAAAGTGACTCAATCTGGCCAAAACTTTGGGCCCGGGCCCCCACCCCCGCCAGCTCTTACCACTAAATCAGTGACCGTGTAGGCATTGGGTGGGGCTGTCTCGCCCACCCGATGATGGGACACAGGTCCTACACGGAGAACACCCTCCTCCTTGAACACCCAGCGGGACAGGGCCACAGCTAGCTCATAGTTGCCTGTCTGGGAGTACCTGCAGGAAGGAAAAGGAGAGGCTGGCGCCCAGGGCCAACTTCTTCCTGGTGGTGCCTGATGGGACAGGCTACCCTGGTCACCAAGATGGCACACTAAGCAAGACTCTGTGCATAGGCCTCATGCTCTCAGGAGCCATGGTTAAAGAAAATCAGAAGATGAAGAGATGCAGATGCCCTGGGCATCACCTACACCGTAAATACACAAATCTCTAAAGGAATGCTGGTCTCCAAATAGCTCCCCACGACCATGAGAGGCGTGGAGTGCCAACCGCAGCAATGTAAGCAACCAAGTCATCTTCAAAGAATTCCAGAGCCCCAGACAGCACACAGGCTTCTCCACACAAACAACCTGCACCTCCCAGACCACGTGCGAGCGCCCCGGGGAGCCCCACCTCTGGGCACCAGGCGTGGCCTTCTGCACTGCCGAGTTGAAGAAGGCATCGCTGAAGAAGTCGAGGGAGCCGCTGAAGACGACCCGGGCGTTGTTCCTGGCCTGAAGCCCGGCAATCAGGAGGGTGTTCTTCCCCACCGCGTGGGGGTACTGGGAACAGATGGAGGTGGTCAAAGTGAAGCCAAAGCCACCAGAGCAAGAGGACAACAGGCTGGACACCTAAGTGGCTGTGTCCTCATCTGAGGGAGGAACCCGAGAGCACACCACTTCTGCCCACGCGCCCTTCCTTCCACCCTGTCCCCTCAGCAAGCGTGCCTCCGGCATCATTTTTATTTTCCAATAAGAAAGTGCTTTGCCACCGGGCCCAAGAGGCGGAAGGTCAAGGTTGCAAAGGTCCTTACCTGGGTAATGGGTTTATCTGGGAAGAAGGAGTAAGAGGTAGACGAGCCCGTCAGGATGTCCAGGACCAAAGGATTGTCGGGATCCGCCACCATCCTGCAGCAGGAATGAAGAGCAGCCCGACACTGACCCAGGAATGAGCCCAAAGGACGAGGGATCACCAGGGCCACTTCTTCCCAGGTTGGATCCTTCTCTCTCAAAAGCCAAACACTTAGCTCTCCTCTTGCTACAATAAGAAATTAATCCCACCCACATCTGCTGGGGGAAGGAACACCCCCAAATAATCACAAATTTGGTTTAGCTTCTCCAAAACCAAGTGACCCTTCCTTCCCCAGGTTTCTACAGGCCTCTTCCTGCTCACTCACCCAACTCCTCGAAAGAGGATGGGATTTAGAGATGATTTCCCAACAATGGTTGGGGCCTTCAGCAGGTTCTCAGTGTCAGCCACGATGAGCGTGTGCTACAGAGCAGAGGGAAAGAGAGGTGTCCAGAAAAGGTTCCTCGGGCCAGGGAGTCCCTCTAGCTCCCTCTTGTCTTTAGGCTGAGCAGAGCTTTGCCACCCATGCCAGAAGTCTAGAAGGCAGTGGGCCTGATTACCTGGCCGAGGTCTGAGACATCATAGTTGTGATGGTCGATGACAGCTGTTTTCTCCTCATCAAACTCGATCCCACACTCACTGCCCAGCTCTCGGAGAGGGTCACCTGCAAAGACCCAAGAGATGCCTGCCTGAGCCCTTACAGTGGGCTCAAGCCAAACAGGGTCATGGTTTCCCCATGATTCACTCATTACTGGTCAACACCAGTGCCCTGCAGCTGCATCAGGCCAGCCTCTGCCTCCAGGGATCACACTCTGAACTGATGGAACAAAACCACCACCTGGTCTCCTTCCACAAACACACAATGACAAAAAACCCCTCTGAAGCCAAGCCTGACCTGAAGAACCTGGGTTGACAGGGTTCTCCAGTCCTTGTCATGCCCCATTACAAGAAACATACTTTTAAAATGTGTCAGTACTCGGGAGGCTGAGGCAGGAGGATCAAAAGTCTGAAGCCAATCTCAGTAACTTATGAGAGCCTGTCTCAAAAAAAAAAAAAAAAAAAAAAAGGCTGGGGATATAGCTGAGTGGTAAAACGCCCTGGTACCAGCACCAAAAACAAAAAACATCGTCAGACTGCCCAGGAATGCTGAAGCTGGGTGATCAGCACAGGGGACTAAGGATGCAACTCTCTCCCTACTTCTAGGCACCTCTGAAATTTTCCAAAATAGAAAACAAGGACTGAGTGTGTGGCTCAGTGGTAGAGCACTCGCCTAGCATGTGTGGGGCCCTGGGATCCATTCCCAGTACTTCAAAGAAGAAAAAAAAAACAAGGCAAAAATCAATTAGATATCTGGGCCTTCTCTCTCTAAGGGACAGTCCCCAAAACAAAGCCAACAATGAAAAAAGCCCAGCCAGGGTTTCTAATCCTTCAAGCCCTGAATCTCACTGTCCGGTCACAGCAAAGCACAGGAGGGCCTGAGCACCCAGCAGCCTGCAGCCCCCTCACTGACTGCTGGCCAAGGCCCACCCAAAGAATGCCAACTTGACAGCTTCCATTTATGAAGCTTTCCAAGCTCCCTGGAGAATGGAGGAAAGCACCAGAATTTCCCAGGTCCAACTTACCTATGTCTGAACTGGCAGCTACCAGGACACTGCCTCCCCCGTCGATAAATGCACTGATGGTCTCCACATTGATGTTGCCTCCAAAATCTGAAAGAAAACATCAGACACAGTAACCAGGCTCTGCTCCCTGACACTCAGGGTAGGAGTGGGGGTCCCCTGTAGACCAGCCACAATCCATCAACATGGGACCCCCAGTGGGCCCAGAATGAAAGAGAGGGCTGCCGTGCCCCATCTGGAAAAGGAGCCCTCATTTCCCAAAAGTCAAGATTCAGTCAAGTCAAGTAACACCTCAGATTCATGAACTTTTAAAGGTTTAGATGAAATAGTCAAACATCTACTAATGTTTGGGGTCTAAGGATGTCAAGCGGGGCACCATATTTCAGGTCACATATAACTTTCACTTAGAATCACTGCCTTTCGGGCTGGGGTTGTGGCTCAGCGGTAGAGCACTTGACTCGCACGTGAGGGCTTTGGCAGTGGGAGCCACAGGAGGATTCTGAGAAGACCTATGTGACTTCACTTGTACTTTCTCAGGATGGTCCTGGTGGCTGTGTGGAGACCAGGCGAAGGGAGTGAGGGTGGAAATGTGACAGGTCAGGAGGCCACATGAAGTCCAGACTGTGAGGAGCGCTTCCAGGTCACACAGAGGTAGTACAGCAGAGTGCAGGGTGGGGGTGGGGTCTTCCCATGGGCAGGAAGGTAAACCACAGGGGCCTTGAGGGGGTGCCTGTGGCTGCCACCCAAAGAGAGGGATTAAGGACAGTCCCAAGGAGCCCAAGCAACTGGAAGGATGAAAGTGCCAATTTCCTAAGACCAGACATTGAAGTTTGTCTGTTAGACATCCACTAGGCATGGGGACAGGAAGGAGTCCATGAAAGGCCTCTGTGAAGGTCTGCATGGAACAGCCCCCTTTTCTGACTCTGAAAAAATTAAAAAGCACCTCACCTTCAAGTATAAAGAGTACTCTGTTCTTGGGGACGCTGCCTCTTACCATAGGTATAAAGCCATCTAGCCACTCTCCTGTGGAGGAGCCACTCTCCTACAAAGGCCAGAAAGAGCCCCAGACAATTCCAAAGCAGCTTCTTGGAATAGAAGAGGCTTTCAACCTGGGGTGACCGTACCCCTCAGAGCACTGTCTAGAAGGCATTTGTGATTATCACAATAGCAGTGAAGTAGCTGCTGGCCTCTAGTGGGTAGAGGCCTGGGACACACTGAACACCTGCTTTGAAACTGAAGCAGCCTGGGCTTAAACGAGGCAAACCCCTGCACCTTTCTGAGCCCACCTCCCATCTACAGAGCAGGATCCAGTGTTGCCGGCAGCCTGTGTCATTCCAATGAGCCGCTACCGCACGTGACCTGGGAATCTCCTAATTCCATATGGGACGGGGGCCACTGGTGCATGGACAAGGGAGCCAGCCCAGGTTTGCAACCTGGCGGAGCTAATATGGTTACTGACTGCAGAAGGACCCAGAGCAGGGCCAAACTCATACCTTGGACCCTAAGCAGTATGAGCCTTCTCCCTAAGAGTGCCTGAGAGGACTTCCTGCAGCAGCATCTGCTGGTGTGGGACCCACTCACCAGGATCAAAAAGCTGACAATAGTGATGTGTGGACAGTCTTTAAATAATGCTCAATCTCACAAAGTTACTGTCTTCCCATTTATTTTCCAAGCTTTTTCGTAAGTTTGATACCAGCATTAGAATTCCTCTATACTTGCTAATCTCCTTTCTGAGGACAGAACCTGTAGCAGGCAACAATACACAATAGAAGTTACCAGCACTGGTTCTAGTCTATCTATTCACAGTTAGCATCTACCTGACACTGGCTTTCCATTTGCACTGGTGATACCGGGTTCATTGTTGGTTTATTAGTACAGTGACATGGAATGTGGTAGAAAGCAGGAAGGAGATACGCAAGTGACTAACCCGAGAAATACTATCTGAGGCTGGTGGCATCTCTCCTACCTCCTTTTCCCGATGTTCTCCAATCCCATCTCCCCACTGCTCCTTTCCTTCCCAGTCTCTCCAAAAGCACAACTTGATAGCTTTTTCACTCCACCTTAAATCCTGACACAAGGTTTGGTAATTCATTTCCAATCTTTATTTTCTCAAACACAGACTGAAAGAACTTCCAAAGGGCAGGCTCTATCCTTATTATTTCACCGCTGGACTATCCAACCACTGGACTGTGTATATTTCAAAGTCCCAAATACAGCAGAAACACAGACAACCATCACTCTGCTGACAGATCCAGTCCAACTGCCCTCTCATTTGAAGATCTTAACTTAAAAGAGTCCAGGTCACATCCATCCAACTACCCTTGCCTCCAAAAAGCCAGTTCCAATGGCATGTGTTGCAGGGCAATGGGGAGCAAGATAGTAAGTGACAGGCCTTTGGAGAAAAATACTTAAGGGATTTGGTAGAACCCAATCACATGTGAACTACAGAAAACAAAGTAGCTGTCAACAAAGCAAAAGATGTCCTAAGCTTCATCAACTGAAGGGAGGGAGGGTTGCAGGGTACACGGTAGTACAAACAGGAGTAACATGAGTCCTTCAAGGAAAAGACAGAAGCAAATAAAGAAGGGAATCACTAGCATTCTCACCAAAAGCATGGCCAAAAAAACTAGGGATATTAGAAGAAACACTTAAATAGGCTATGACCATGTGAAAACTGTTTTTCAGCAAGATAAGCACCAGATTTGTTTTCTAAGGCCCTGGGGAAGGCTGGGAATCTCCCTCCCCAGACAAACACAGTAGAAAGACACAAGTTGCAGTTTAATGTAACTTTGTAACAGAATTATACAGTGATGGAATAGACTGCCTCCTAAAATAGGAATAGTGAAAGTATAAGGGGCCTGGGGGCCTGCTCCAGGAATAATTTGAAGAAGATATTCTATTAATAGAATAGTGAAGATATTCTACTAGATAATTTGAAGATTCTGTTCAACAATTAGCCCTCTGCTAAGCCTCTGAACATATCCAGCTGCTATCAAATGGGTAGGAGCCTAATTGCTAAGACTTTTTCTCAGCTGGAGGTTAAGGTCAACTACCAATCTTCACAACGCCTCTTTACACTAATCCATACTAATAACATGCAATCCCTCTTTCCACACAGGCAAACTCCATCAGGCATTCTTCATTCTTTCAGACTCTGTGCAGAAAAAAACTTCCTTCTCTGCAGAGGGGCAGGGCCCGAGTTCCACGGTCTATGGAACACTTAACCCCACAACCCTTAATTGTGCCCAGGTTAGAAATTAGCATTTTCTCTTCTCTTGGCAGCAGCAGTGCCAGGGCTGGCAACCCATCCCCAGACCCTGAACCTGCCCAAGAATCAGAAGAAAGCAATGGGTCAGTCCGGGGTCCTGAATCCCGGCGACGCGCGGCCCTTACCTTCTACCGAGGGGGAGAAGATGATGAGATTATCATAGAGGAACTCCCCGTACTTAATGAGGGATAGGCTGGGGTCATCGGCGGTCTTGAATGTGAGTTCAAAGCCCCGATCTGGACGAGGGAAAAAAAAAAAAACAGCAGTCAACTACGGCAGACAGGACGCAAAGGGAACCAACCCCCCTGTGCAGATATCGCGAGCCACTCCAGGCGGCAGGCCGCACCTGGGCGCCTGCTCCAGAAAAGCGGGTGTCAGGGAGGATGGTGATGCCCTCAGGCTCGGGCGTCCTTCCCACCCGTGACTCTCACGCGCCGTCCCCTCGGACCCCGCTCTCAAACCTTTCAGGCTCCGGAAGAAAAGCGAGTGCGTCTCCCGCAAGTTGAGGTTATCCAGCAACACTAGAGTTCGGGGGCCGCTGGCGCAGACCGAGCCAAGCAAGGGTAGCAGCAGCCATAAGAGAGACCAAGCACGGGCCGCCGTGCACGGCTCCATTTTCTTATTTCAGCCAAAGAACCCACACCTGGACACCGGAAAGGTCCCGTCTACAGCCGACCAATCGCGACTCGTGGCCGTGGAGTCCCAACCGGAAGTGATCTAGATACTCCCAGCCGGGCGTCAACAGCTGCGACTTTGATGGTAAGAAGCCGGGAGCATTTCCGGAAGTGCCCTAGTCGGAGGCGGACACCTTAAATGCTATTGGTAGAAGGGACTTGAGGCCCCGCCTCCCAAGAGGAAAAGGTTCAATACTGAAGAGACAGCTCTGCAGCCGCCACCAATCAAGGCCGAATGCCCTTTGGCTCCGCTCAGTCCGGCTCCTCCGCTAGTCCAGAGCCGGGTTCTGGCGCAGTCTGGTCCCTTTCGAAGGGGTATTGTCCCGGATGGGAGTGAGGCACTTGGCCCCTTCCTTGGTCCTCACCAGTCTAGGGCAGACCGGGAGGCCCATCTCCCAAACCTCTAGAAGGAGAGGCTAGAGAGCAGGGACGGATTGAGGAGGGATAAGGTCGAGGTCAGGGGAACTGCGAGCTCCTGCCTGCCCATCTCCGTCCCAGGGGTCAAGCCATTAGCGAGGAAAAAAAATAAAATAAACCCCGTAGCTTCACTTGCTTTTCATAGATGGATACAATATATTTTTTTGTGGTGCTGAGGATCGAACCCAGTGCCTCACTTGTGCAAGGCAAGTGCTCCACCACTGAGCCACAACCCCACCCCTTTTCATTGACTTTTAAGGTCACAGCCACCGGGCAGTATATTATTAGCCCCCCCCACACACACACACACACACTAGCTTTTGTCTAGGTCACTCTTCAGGAACCCGAAGTCCACTTTGGCTAAAAACACTGAGTCTCCACTTGGGCCCGTTGATGTCCCATGGATAACTGGAATTGACTGGAATGGGATGAGGAGGCTTGTTTCTGTCTTCTTTGTTGCCTTAACCTTTGATTCAGATTCTTCTGGGTACTATATGTAGGCATGGTCATCATTTGATATGTTTTGCCCAGAGCTATATATAATATAGGGTTAACTTGACTAGATTTGCCCAGCACCCCCTCAAACCCAACCTTTTAAGTCTAAAGACACCTACCAGCCACCATGACTAGAAACGCTCAAATTCTCTGAAAGAGCGCCACCTAGTCCCAGAAGACATGAACATTCCTTCCCTTTTAGCCTCTCCTCCCCCATGCATTTCCCTAGCAGACGCTCCTCCTCTTCATTCCTTCTGGCTCTACCCCAAGTGGAACCTCCTCCTGCCCTCCCTAGCCTACCCCTGCCACAGCTCAGGACACCTAAAGGTTTTTTCTTCACCTCGAGTCTGCACCTGACCTCATCGCTACAGCTTCATCTCTCTTGTCTGTGCTCAGGGCTGAGTGTTGCCACCTGGTGCTTTTTGCTCACGAAACTTCTGCCACCAGGAGTACCCTCCCCATATACGGGTCTTCAACCTCCAGGACCTTCTGCCTTCCTTACAGGAGGGAGCCCTGCCCCACCCAACACTCTCCCTTCAGAAAGGCTCTTTGTTCCCCTTAAAGTCTCTGACCTGGTGGGTAGTGTAGTCAGAGGCTTGCCTCTGTGGCTACCTAAGCACCCCACCCCAGCTTCTCCAGAGTGAGCTCCTGGTCCTATTAATAGTTCCACAAAGGGGCCCTGGGTGACAGATTCTTTGAAATCTCTGACACTCTCCAAAGAAAAAAATACTCTTTTGTGTTTGCAGGTGCAGGGAGCCTGCTGGTTTTAAAATCTCGGGCCAGTGAACGCCCATTCCAGACAGCTGCCATGGCCGCAGAGATGCAGGGCCCAGGGATGTAGTCAGAGAGGGTCAGGGAGGGGATTTATTCTAAAAGGCAGTTTATTGGGCAGCCTAATGTGAAGCAGCCTTCTCAGCCCAGTGGAACCGCCCTCCAGGCCTCTTCCAGTGCCCCTCCTGCAGGGCAGGGCTTCCCTCTGGAAAGGGGGCAAATCACATGGAGGCACAAATTTCAGTCACGAAGATGTCGCGCGTCATCCAAATGCTGGGGCTGGTGATGAAGGTGCCAAGGCAGGTCCGAAGCTTCTGAGGCCATTGAGGCAAAGGACAACACTGGTAGGCCCAAGTTACCGGTTCCAAGGTGGGAGGGTGGGTAGGAACACTGATGCGGTGCACGGAGCCGGAGCCGGGGCAGGCCTCTCCGAGGAGGAGGAGGACGGCAGTCTCTGCCGGCCAAGCTCCAAGCCCCAGGCATAGTGACTGAGGGCCCCCCTGGGCCCCAGGTCACTGTGGGGAGAGATGGGAGGAGGCCTGGGCGGGGCCGCCCAGCAGTTTCTTGGAGCCTAAAGGCAGGTGGTAGCGGGCAGCTGCCATCACAGAGGCTCACTGCCAAAGTTGCTTTTGCTTTTCTTCCGCCTAGCTTTGGTGAAGGGGATGTCGAGGGACTCGAGGCGGAAGGGCCGGGGCTGGGGCATTTCAGGGGCCTGGGCAAGCGGGATGGCAGAGTTGTTGCTGAGCGGGGAGCCGAGGCCTGGTGGCGAGTTGTGATGAGCTGTGGAGAGAGGGCAGGGCTGGTGCGCACAGGCGTGGAGAGAGCTCCTGGGGTGTGCAGGGTGGAGGACGGGTAGCCCTCTCCTCCCAGCCAGAGGCCCTGGCTCTGCAGCGGGACAGTCTAAGGCTGCTCTAGTTGAGATCTCAGCATTACATCTGCATCCAAAGAATCTGGCTGGGGTTAGGGGTTCTAAAGCCTCAAACTGAGGCAGCCTGAGCTCTCAGGCCAGACAAGCCAGGGTTCAAAGCCCAGCCCCAGGACTCCCTAGCTGTGTAACCTCGGGCAAGTCACTCCACCTCTCGGAGCCTCAGTTTTCTCTTCTGCAATATGGAGGACTCTGCTGATGTTCATGTCCCTTCTTTCGGACTCCTGCCCTTACTCCTCAGTCCACTCAGTCTCTTACATAACCTCTGTATAGAACTAGGATTCATGCCGGGCGCAGTGGCGCACACCTGTAATGCCCTCTTGCCCTGCCAGCGCCCTTGTGGTGGTCCTTGAAGAGAGTCAGTCCTCATTTGGGGAAAGTCGCCACACCGGCATGAGGAAGCTGGGGAGTAACCAGTTTATTGGGCAGCCTAAAAGGCCATTTATTGGGCAGCCTAATGTGAAGCAGCCTTCTCAGACCCGACCCACAGCACCAAGCCAGGGCCCTCTGTGTGGCAGGGGAGACACCAGCCACACACAGTCTTCTCCCAAGCACCTACTATGTGCCAGGCCCTGGCTTGGTTATTTCCCCACCTCATCTCCTCTAATCCCACTCATTTTATTGCTAAAAAACACAAGGCTCATGGAGGGAAAGGTGTTTTGAACCCAGGTCCATCCAACTCCAGAACCACCCCCCATGCCTTTCCTAGGTGTGGGGGAGGGGGCACAGGTGCACAGGACACTCACTGAGGCTCTTCATGGGATCTGAACTGAGGATCTGGTTGGCCCGCTTGGGACGGAAGTAGTTACTGGCAATATGTTCACTGTCACTCCGACTGAGCATCAGCTTGTAGCGGTCTTCCTCCTGCTGAGATGTCAAATCCTAGTGGGTCAAGACCCCTCATCTTCGCAGAGCTGATCTGGGCCCCCTGCCTGGGGCTCAGCAGCCTCCAGAAGCCTGGTGGAGTGGGGCTGGCCTGAGCCTCCCCCAGGCTGCACCAGAGGGCTGGAGGGATCATGGCCCATGGCAGCACAATCTGCCACAGACCCTGGAGCCCCGGGAGCAACTCAGGAAGGTGGGGATCAGGCGGTTGTCTCCAGCCAGGCCCACACCTGCCTTCCCTCCCTTGAGATGGGGAGTACCTTGTTCCCTCCTGCCAGCTCCAGCAGGGGCAAGGGTGATACAGAGCCCAAACTCCACAGCACAAGGAATAGAGTACCCAGCCCGCAGCTACCCTATGACCACTGTGACTGGCATCCTGACCTCTCCGTCACCCAGAACAGACACTCCTCACTGCTGTCATAGACTGACTCTCTCCGTTCTGTCCCTCACCAGGTTCCCAGCAGGGTGATCATCCACAGGGCCCTGTGCTACAGGGCCAGACACATGACCCACACTGGGCCAATCACAGAGCATCATCCTCCTGAACAAAGTAATTGATCCAAGAATAGGCCCATAACCTGGGCAGAGCTAATGAGAACCTTTCCACCAGCCTCAGAGTGAGATTTTAAGGGACCAGGTCTCTCTTCCTTTTGGATCATAACCGTTTGCAGGCCATCTTTCCCACGCTGTGGAGAAAGCATACCAAAAACAAGAGGGAAAGACATAAAACCCTCACAGTTTGGGCCCCTACATCCAGCCATGCCTGAAATTAGTCTACTTATATGAACCAATAAACTTCCTATTTTGTTTTTGTTAGTGGTGGTACTGGGGATTAAACCCAGGAGTGTTCTATCACTGAGCCACATCCCCAGCCTTCTTTGTTTTTTTAAGACAGGTTCTTGCTAAATTGCTGAGATTGGCCTTGAACTTGTGATCCTCCTGCCTTGGCCTCCCATTCACTTGGATTATAGATATGCACTACCACACTGGCTGCTTGTGACTATTTGACATCTGTCTCTTGGAACTAGAAGTGCTTTCACATAATCTTTTTGTGGTTGCAGGTTAAGACTTCATTTTTGAGAGAGATTCAAGGTGGCAGCTTAGAGGAAAGTTGCATGACTTGGGATTCAAGCAGCAGGAACAGGCTTCTCAGTGAGACTGTAAACTCCTTCAGACAAGCATAGTTCGTCTCCCCAAACACCCTGACCTGGAGTGCTATGCAAAGTCTGTGGATGTGAACTGAACAGAATTTTTTAGGATCTACTTTGAGAACCCCAGATATCACTGATGACAGCTTCCACAAATGAGAGGGAACATTTGACCCTTGACTTCCTGAGTCTGGTTTATTTCATTTGGCATCACGTTCACCAGCTCCATCCATCTGCCAGTAAATGACTCAGTTTCATTCTTCTTTTCATTCTTCTTTGTGGCTGGGTAAAACTCCATTGTATATAGACACTGTATTTTTTGAAAAATTTTTTTAGTTGTAGATGGACACAATATCTTTATTTATTTTTTAATGTGCTACTGAGGATCGAACCCAGTGCCTCACATATGTGAGGCAAGCACTTTACCACTGAGCTATATACCAGCCCTATATGCTCTTTTTTTTAATTTATTCATTGTTGGATTGACATATAGTCTGATTCTATAACTTGGCTATTATAAACTGCACTGCTCTGAAAAACTGATATGCATGCATCACTATTAGTTAGAAGGGAGAGCAATAGAATAAAGGGGATTGAGAGGGACAGAGGAGGACAGGGGAGGTGCTAGGGGACAAAACTGACCAAATTATGCTATTTCCATGTGCAGTATACCAATGCATCCCACTGTTACGCATGATTATGATGCACTAACTTAACAAAAATACTGATGTTAGAAGGAATACTGGTAAAGTAGAAGGGGACCAAGGTGAGGGGAAAGGGAGAGAAAGGGGAAGTACTGTGACCAACCTGTTATGTGCAAATACAAATATCACCCCCCTCTTTGGTACAATTACAATGCACCAACAAAAACATAGAAAGGCAGGGGGAAAAAAAAAAGAATGTTTTGCTTTGTTTTACAGCAACTTTGCCTTTTCCATGAAGTTAAGCCATCAAAGCAGCCAGTCTAGCTCCAGACCAGCACAAGAGGCCACCCTGTGCTGCTCAGGCAGAGGAGCCTGGCTGGACATACTGGAACTGTATGATCTGTGTGTGTTTCTGAAACGTTCATAATGACTTAAGGCAAGGGTCAGCAAATGACAGCCAACGGGCAAATCTGGCCCATAGACTATTTTGTAGATAAAGTTTTATTAGAACACAGTATTCATTTATGTACCATCTATTTCTGGTTTTGTGCTAGGATGATGGAGTTGAGGAGTTGTGACAGAGACCACATGGCCAACAAAGGCTAAAGCATTTATTTTCAGGTCCTTTTTAGAAAAGGACTGTGACTCCTGCTATATAAGGATCCACGTTACTATTGCACTACAAAACATGGGAGCTATGAAATTAAATGACTTTAGAATCCCAACCACTGCTCGTGGGCACTCTGAGGACCATTTTGGCCTTGGTGACCAACTAGGGTCCAGGGAATGAGAAGGTGCCATTTGTCTTCTAGGGTTGAGGCTCAAGCCTCTGTTGGACACCAGTAGGACAGGCTGCCCCCAGCTGTCTACCTTTCCTCTGGTCCTTTGGAGCATATGTGCCCCTGACTGAGGGCCAGAGGGGACTGAAGTCCAGGTGCCAATGAGTGACAGAAAAGATCCAGGCTCAGGCTGGGGTTGTGGCTCAGTGGTGAAGCGCTTCCCTAGCATGTGTGAGGTACTGGGTTAGATTCTCAGCCGCATATCAATAAATAAAATAAAGGTCCATTGACAACTTAAAAAATTTAAAGAAAAGAAAAGATCCATGCTCAGCCCTTGCTTCAACCTTAGGCATGATGAAAGTAGCCCCCTTCCCAGTAGCAACGCTGGCCCCTTCGCTGTGGGAGCAGAGACCCCATCCCACCCTGCCCGCTCCCATGGGCCTTACCATGTTTGGCTCCCCGTTGTCAGGTGCAGAGGTCTTGCGGGCTGACTTGTTCTGTTGCCCAGTTGGAACTGCTATGAGAAAACAAGAGCTGAAATGCCGATGGTGGAAGGGAACAGGTGGGGTACTGTCCCAGAGGTGGCGTCAAGCCAGGCTTGGGCTAGAAAAAGCCACATCCCAGTCCCACCTAAGGAATGTCCTTGGGAGTGCTCAGATGCCAGAAAAGCCACTCTCCCACTTCCAGGATGATGGGTGGGTGGGGGAAGGGAGAGATTCAGCTGCTGCCCAAAGCTCATGGGAAATGGAGCCAGCTGGAGTTTTAACAGGAGAGTGAGGCCCTGATCCAACACTGGCCAGGGAGAGCTTGTGACTCCCCAGGTCTGTGCATGGGGAGAGCCATAAAGATTCTGGCTGTGGAGATGTACAAGGCAGCGTTCCTCTGGTGAGCAAACTCCCGGAGGATAACAGGTGCCCTGTTTTTCACACTTGGAATATTCCACAGTTTCTCCCTGGAACCCGTAAGATGACTCATACATGCTCAGAGCCTAGCTGCTATGGTAATGTCCTTGGTGAGGAGGCTCTGTGCTAGAGTCTTATCATCCTCAACCTTGGTCTCAGACACTCAGCTTCTGGGGCTAAAGGAGCTCTCTCAGACAACACCATGTGCCCCTGCGCCTACACCTGCCCACAGGACAGTAACTTTATACAACGAGCATACGTTCTTATGATGCCAACGGGGCTAATGTAACCTATGGATATCAATAAAGCTGGCAGCTCAGCGAGCAGCCCTTTTACTTCGCCCCTCCCCTGCTGGCTTCTCTGTCTCTCTTTGTGTTTTCTTTAGAGAGAGCGCCACAGCAAATCTGACTTTACTCCGAGACTCGACCAAGGTGGATGGGTCCTTAAGATTATCTCACCCAACCCCTGATTTTGTCAAGAAGCCTAGAGAAGGTCAGCGAGTGATCTTCCTAAAGTCACACAGGAGGTCAGCGACCAAAGCAGAGGTTGAACCAGGCCCAAGCCCTGAACAGCTGGTTTCCCTCTTCGGTGCTGCAGCTCACTGCCAGGCTTTCAAGCTCCGGTAAGTCACTCACACCCTGTGAGACTGGTTTCCTTGCATGTGTGATAGGCGTCGTGACCATCACCCTTGGCAGGGCTGATGTAGGGATGGAGTGGAACAATGATGACAATGGTAATGACACCAGGGACCACGCACCCCATGCCAGGCAGTGCTTGAAGGCTTCCACATGTCTGAACATGTCATAGCCCTCTCAGCAACTCTAAGGAAGGTCCTATTATTCATCCCATGTCACAGATGAGGACATTGAGTCCCCAAGGGGTCACCCAAGGAATGGTGCAGCCAGAATTCCAACCTACATCATGGCCTTCAGAGAATGCCACCCTCCCAGGGGCCCGGCATGTGGGGTGCCCAGGGTCATGCATCTGTTGCACCCAAAACCTGCAGGGAGAGGCCAGGCTCCCTTTCCCTCTGCACAGCGGCCAACTGTGAAGGAGGCAGGGAGGTCCATGGGGCAGCTGAGCTCCTGACCTACTGGAAGGCTGGTTTTAATGATGATGGGCTCTGGGATCTTCCAGAAGCCACTCTCCTCATCCCAGCATGACTCCCGCCGAATCCTATCCAGGTTGCTGTAGTTGCAGTCCCTGCGGATCAGGGGCTGCACCTGTTCCAGAAGTTGCTGGAAGAGCATGGAGTCGCGCTCCTGCCGACGGATAGTGGCCAGATAATCAATCTTCTCCAGCTGGAATTCTGACTGCAGATCTTTGATTTCCACTTCTGCTGCCCGGAGCTGAAAGCCAAGGATGATGACGAGCAGTGAGCAGGGGAAGATGCCGGCAGGCCGCCCTGTCCATGGCCTGCCAGCCGCCCTCATCACTGGTCACTGGTCCACTCACCCTCTGCCTCTCGCCTTCACCACCGTCCAGCCAACTCTCCGTCCCCCTATCCCCCTCTGACACCCACTGATCTCTCCACCCATCCAATACTCTCCTCCCACCTCTCCACCCAGCAGGTAATGAGCACCTAGTGTGTCCACAGTGTGCAGAAAGCTGACCCTCAACCCCGCTGCCAGCTCGGGCACTACTCCACATCCTACACTCATGACAGGGCCTTTTAGAAGTACCCATGTGCAACACGACCATCACCAAAGCCCTAGTAGGTCTCTGAGTCACACAAGTGACTCTCCTAAGGGTGGCAACAGGCAGAAACTCAGACTCCACAGCTCTTGTTTTCCCAGGTCTATAGCTCTGTCATGGTGTGACAAACACTGCCCCTTAATTTGATGCATTCCAGATGGTTTGGTCTCCACTCCCCACAACTGGCCCTTCCCTTCCCTCCTAAGCCCAGGTGACTGTAGTGCCAACTCTACCCTGTTCTGCCTGAGCCCCAAGACCCCTGATGCACTCTACTCCTCGAGGAGCAGGTACAGGTGATTCGCAAAGAACAACATTGTTCACACCAAGGAAAAGAAACTACAGTCCACATCCCTGAGGAACTTAGGTGCAAACATCCTTGACAAAATTTTAGCAAATCCTATTCAACAACATGTTAAAAAGACTGTATATCATGACCAAGTTGGTTTTCTCCCAGAGATGCAAGGATGGTTTATTATTTATTTAAATCAATAAATGTACTTCATCACATAGTAGAATTAAGGACAAAAAAAACCACTTAGTCATCTCAATTGATGCAGAGAAAGCCTTTGACAAAATTCAGTAACTATTCATGATAAAAACACTGAAAAACTGAGGGACAGAAGAAATCATAAAGGCTATGTATGAAAAACTCAAAGCCAATCTTAATAATAAATGGGGGAAAACTGAAAGCATTTCCCATAAAATTTGGAATAAGACAAAGATGTCGACTCTCAACTCCTATTTAATATAGTGCTTGAAATTCTAGCCAGAGCAATTAGCAAGAGAAGGAAACAAAAGGAAGGAAAACAGGAAAGAGGGGCTGGGGCTGTAGCTCAGTGGCAGAGCGCTTGCCTGGCCTGTGTGAGGCCCTGGGTTCGATCCTCAGCATCACATATGAAACTAAACAAATGAAATAAAGACATGCTGTCCATCTACAACTACAAAAAATACAAATGAAAAAACAGGAAAGAAGTCAAATTATCACTGTTTGCAGATTATATGATCTTAAAAGGTCCAATAAACCCCACCCAAATCCTGCTACAGCCAATAAACAAATTTGATAAAGGAGCAGGTTACAAAATCACCACACAAAAATTAACAGCTTTCCTATATACCAAGGATGAATCTGTTGAGAAAGAAACCAGAAAAAAAAAAAAAAAAAAGCCCATTCACGACCTTGAAAAACAAAACCAAAAACCTAGGAATGAATCTAACCAAGGAGGTGAAAGATTTCTACAATGAAAACTATAAAACACTGAAGAAAGAAATTGAAGCCCTCAGAAGAAAGACCTTTCTTGTCCATGGATAAGCAAAGTTAATATTGTTAAATGACCCTACTATACCAAACGCAATATACAGATTCAATGCAACCCACATCAAAATGCCAATGACATTCTTCACAAAACTAGAAAAAAACAGTACTAAAATTCATTTGGAATAATAAGAGACCCAGAATAGCTAAAGCAATTCTAAGCCAAAAAACGTAATGCTGGAGGCATACCTGACTTCAAATTATACTACAGAGCTATAGTAGCAAGAACTGCATGGTACTGAATAAAAACAGACACAGAGACCAATGGTACAGAATAGAAGACACAGACACAAACCCACATACAGTCATCTGATCCTAGATGAAGATGCCAAAAATATACACTGGAGAAAAGACAGCTTCTTTAACAAAAAGTGCTGGGGAAACTGGTATGTAGAAGGAGACTAGACCCTTCTCTCTCCTTCTCTCCCTTTCTTCCTCCCCCCACTTCTCCCTTTGCAGGGGTTTGGAGGGGAATACCAGGAATTGAACTTAAGGCACTGAACCACATCCCTAGTCTTTTTTAAAAATTTCTTAATTTTTTCTTTTTTAGTTTTAAGTGGACACGATATCTTTATTTTTTTTTATTTTTACGTGGTGCTGAGAATCGAACCCAGTGCCTCATGCGTGCTAGGTGAGTGCGCTACCACTTGAGCCACATCTCCAGCCCTCCTTTTTATTTTTATTTTGAGACAGAGTCTCACTAAGTTGCTGAGGCTTGGTTTGAACTTGTGATCCTCTTGCCTCAACCTCTTGAGTCTCTGGGATTATAGGTGTGCACCACCTCACCCTATGCAACTCCTGGAAGAAACTGTAGAGTCAATACTCCAGCATAGAGGCACAGACAACGACCTTCTCAATAGGACCCTGAAAGCTCAGGACATATGACAAGAGTTAATAAATGGGGAGGCATCAAATTAAAAAGCTTCTGCACTTCAATGGGAACAATTAAGAATATGAAGAGAGAAACTCTTTTCTAGCTACTTTTCTGTCAAAGGATTAACATCTAAACTATATAAAGAAATCAAAAAAACTTTTACACCAAAAATATCAAATAACCCAATTAATCAATAGGCAAATGAATTAAACAGACACTTCTCAAAAGAAATACAAATGGCCAACAAATATACAAAAAAAAAAAAGGGGGGGCTGGGGCTGTAGCTCAGTGATAGAGCACCTGCCTCTCTCATGTAAGGCCGTGGGTTTGATCCTCAGCACCATTTAAAAATAAATTAATTAATTTTTTCCACCTACAAAAAAATTTTTTTAAAAATGTTACTAGAGGGGCTGGGGTTGTAGCTCAGTAGTAGAGCACTTTCCTAGCACATTTGAGGCATTAGGTTTGATCCTCAGCACCACATAAAAATAAATAATAAAGATACTGTGTCCACCTACAACTAAAAAAATGTTAAAAAACACAAATATACAAAAAAAATATCCAACATCATTAGCAGTTAGAGAAATGCAAATTAGTACTACATTGAGATTTCATCTCACTTTAGCAAGAATGGCAGTCATCAAGAAAACAAATAATATTAAATACTGAGAGGATGTGGAGAAAAAGGGACACTTTTATACTGTTGGTGGGATTGTAAATTAGTACAACCAATATGTAAATCAGTATGGAGGTTCCTCAAAAGACTAGGCATGGTGGGACTGGGGTTGTGGCTCAGTGGTGGAGCGCTTGCCTTACACGTATGAGACCCTGGGTTCCACCCTCAGCACCACATAAAAATAAATAAATCAAATACAGGTATTGTGTCCATCTACAACTAAAAAAATATTAAAAAAAAAAAAAAAGACTAGGCATGGACCCACCATGTGACCCGCTATCCCACTGCTCAGGGATTTATCCTAAAGAATTAAACTCATCATACTACAGTGATCTGTGCACACCCATGTGTATAGCAGCACAATTCACAATAGCTAAACCATGGAACCAGCCTAAGTGTCCATTAGTGAATAGAGAAAATGTTGGAGTTTTACTCAGCCATCAAGAAAAATTAAACTACGTCATTTGCAGGAAAATGAGGGAACTAGAAAACACCATGTCAAATTAAATAGGTGAGTGTGGTGGTACACGCCTGTGGGAGGCTGAGGCAGGAGGGTCTCGAGTTCAAAGCCAGCCTCAGCAACAGTGAGGTGCTAAGCAACTCAGATCCTCTCTCTAAATAAAATACAAAATAAGGCTGGGGGTATGGCTCAGTAGTTGAGGGTACTCCTGAGTTCAATCCCTGGTACCAAAACAAAAAACAAACAAACAAAAAACAGCATCATGTTAAGTGAAACAAGTCAAACTCAAAAGGTGAAGCACCATATGTTTTCTCATATGTGGAAGATAGAGAGGAAAAAGGAAAAGAAAGGCGGCAGGTGATCCCATGAAAAGCAAAGGGAGATGGGTAAAATGGAGGGAGGGGTACAGGGCATGAGAGGAGGGGAGTGGGGATGTGCTGGGGAGGGATATTGGTCAAACTATATTGTTATACGGTGTGCATATACAAATATGTAACGATCCTACCATTACATGCAACTATAATGCACCAACTATAAACCACCAAAGAGGTTTAAAAAAAGAACAATGTCACAAACTGCTGGGAATTGTCATCTCCTAGTCAGCATGGAAGACACCTGGCAGGACACATATATAGCAGGGATTGTCACTGATTGATTTCTGCTTCCTAAGCTGAGTGGAACATGCATGGTGCTCGTGGTCACCATCATCAAATCTTCTTGAACATCCACAATCATTCACAATGACTTCTTTGTTAGATGGGGCCTCACTATGTTGCCCAGGCTGGCCTTGACCTCCTGGGCTCAAACACTCCTCTTGCCTCAGTCTCCCAGGTGGGGGGGTGGATAAAGCTGTGTGCCACTCTGCCAGCCTTGATAATTTCTAAAACTGCTTTATTGAGATATAATGCACATGTCAATCCATGTACTGCCCACAGTCCACAGTCCAGTTCAAGCCCAGTGTCAGGTCACATGCCTGTAGTCCCCACTACTCAGAAGGCTGAGATGGAGGATGAAGTTCAAGGCAACATGGTGAGATCCTCCTAAACGAATAAATGTAAGGTGTGCAATTCAGTGGTTCTGACGATTCCATGAAGTTGTTCAACCATCATTACAATCAATTTTAGAGCATTTCATCCCCTAAAAAGAAACCCCAGACCCATGTGCAGTCATGCCCAAGTCCCTCACCTCCAGCCCTAAGCGATCTTTCTTAGTCTTTCTGCCCACATAGGTTTGCCACTTCTGGACATTTCATACACATGGAATCTCTTCTGGCTGGTTTCTTCTCTTAGCATAATGTTTTCAAAGGTCATCCATGTTACAGCCTCTATCGGCTGTAACATGGATGACCTCTATATTCATCCCTTTCTATCGCCAAATATATTCCATTATATGGCTGTACCACACTTCGTGTTTCCCCAAACTTGTTTGGTTTTCCCCCTTTGGAGTTATGAATAATGCTGTTATAAAGATTAGTGTATATATATATTTTTTCAATCCTGGGAAGCAAGCCCAGGGCCTTATGAATGCAGGCAAGTACTCTACTATTGGGCTACAGCCTCAGCTCAAGTATACAAACTTTTTGGTTTTCGTTTTTTAACTCAAGGGCAATTCACCACTGAGCTACATCCCCAGCTCTTTCTATTTTTTTTGAGACAAGGTCTTGCTAAGTTGTTGGGGCTGGTTTTGAACTTGCAATCCTCCTGCCTTAGTCTCCCGAGTTGCTGGATTACAGGTGTGCACCACTGAGCCAGCCAACTGTACAAGCTTTTAAGTGGACATATTTTCCTCTCTTGAGCATAACTGCTGGGTCACATGGCACACCATACTTAACCACTGGGGGTTAACAATGTGTTTTCCACAGTAGCTGCACCATGCCTCCCACCCATCAGCAGGGTATGAGGCTTCCAATTTCTCCACATTCTTACCAACATTTGTTTCCCGTCTTCATTATCACAACTATAACAGTTGTCAAGTGGTATCTCACTGTGGTTTTGACTGGCATTTTCCAAAGAGTTGATGATGCTGAACATCTTTTCATGTGCCTATTGGCTATTTGTGTGTCTTCTTTGGAGAAATATCCATTTGTATCTTTTTTCCCATCCTTAAATTGGGTTTTTGTTGTCTTTTTTATGACTGGGTTGTAAAAAACACAGTACCTTACCAGATATATGGTTTGCAAATATTTTCTCTCATTCTGTAAACTGTCCTTTCTCTTTATCGACAGTGCCCTTTCAAGAACAAAGTTTTCTCTTCTTTTTATTTTTTTGCACCAAGAATTGAACTCGGATGCTTAACCATGGAGCCACATCTCCAGCCCTTTCTTCCTGAGAGAGAGTCTCATGGAGTCAATTTGTAGATGGCTTTGAGTGCTGCCATTTTTCCAGGGGTAAGTCCTCTACTTCTTGAATATGACGCAGCTGTTTCTTTAGGTCTTAATTTCTTTCAATGTTTTAACGTTTTCAGAATGTAAATTGGGCACTTCTTTTTTAAATTTATTCCTATTTTATTATTTTTGATGTAAATTAAAGTGTTCACTTTATTTGCAGATTGTTCATTGCAAGTATAAAGAAATACAGTCGATTTTGCTTTACTGACCTTGTATTCTACAACTCTGAGGAGCTCATTTACTGATGCTAATTAGTTTTTGTTGTTGTTGTTGCAGTCCTGGGGATTGAACCCAGGGGTGCTCTACCACTGAGCTACATCCCTGATCTTTTTATGTTTCGAGACAGGGTCTCACTAATTTCCCAAGCTAGCCTTGAACTTGCGATCCTCCTGCCTCAGCCTCCCAACTAGCTGGGATTATAAGTGTGTGCCAAGGTGCCCAGATGATTCCAATTTTTTAAGTGGATTCCTTCTATACACGAGATCATGTCATTTGCAGATACAGTTTTATCCCCTTCTCCAATCTGGATGCCTTGTCTTTCATTTTCTTGCCATTTGTCCCAGTTACACCCTCCAGCCCAGTATCCAATGGGAGTGCAGAAAACAAACCTCCTTTTCTTATTCCCTGACTTTAGGGCAAAACATTTGGTCATTTGCCATTAAAAAGATGGAACCTGGGGCTGGGGCTGTAGCTCAGGGGCAGCGCACTTGCCTACTAAGTGTGAGGCCCTGGGTTCAATCCTCAGCACCACATAAAAGTAAATAAATAAAACAATTTTTTTTAAAAAGATGAAAGCTGGGATTTTTCATAAATGTCCTCTATCCGGTTGAAATGGTTCCCTTCTGTTCCTAGGTTGCTTTATATTTTTATCATGACAAGTATTGAATTCTATCAAATGTTTTCTTCAAATTTATTAAGATGATCTTGATCTGTGATGTTTGTTATTTATTCTTTTTTTTCCCCTTTCTCTCTCTCTCTCTCTTTTTTTTTTTTTCAATACAGTGCTTGGGATTGAACCCATTATACCTTCAAGGCAAGTACATTTGTCCTTGATTCTATTGATATGAGGTATTACCTTAATTGATTTGAGGAATGTTAAACCAGCCTTGCATTCCTGGGATAAGTTCCTCTTCAGTATGGTTTATAATCCGTTTTTGTTTTTGTTTTTAATCTTGTTGGAATTGGTTTTCTAGTATTGTGTGGGGCATATTATGTCTCTAGTCATAAGAAATATTCATCCATAGTTTTCTGATATCTTAGTCTGGTTTTGGTATCAGTGTAATACTAGTCCTGCAGGATAAGTTGAGAAGTGTTCCCTGTTATTTCACAACAATTTTTAAAATATCTTTTTAAACCAAAAACCTTCATTTTGCAAATAATACTTAGTTATATGATATAATGGACTGGCATGGTGGTGCATGCTGGTATTCCCAGAAACTTGGGAGGCTGTAAGAGGCTTTCAAGTTCAAGGGCAGCCTCAGCAACTTAGTGAGACTGTCTCAAAATCAAAAGTCAAAAGTTCTGGGGATGTAGCTCAGTGGTAGAATGTCCCTGGGTTCAATCCCTATACTGCAAAAAAAAAAAAAAAAAAAAAGGGGGGGGGGGGGGAGGGAGGGAGCAGACTTCATATAAGAAAGAAAAAAAGAAACTAGATATTTTAATAAAATTAACAAGGTATATCCAACATCTAAATGAAGACAGGGAAAACACTCCTGGAGGACACAAAACTTGATTTGAACTAACAGGAAGCTAAGTCATGCTCCTGGACAGGAAAATCCATCTTGTAAAGGGATCAATACTTCTAAGCTAATTTATAAACATGACGTGACCCTCCTCTAACATCCAACCTTTCCTTTCTATCTGAATTTGTTTTGGGCTGCCTGATTTTTTTTTATCAGTTCATCAAATGTTTGTCAGACAGAAAACAGTAGAGTGAGCCCCTAAAGGAAGGAACCGAGCTGGCTGCCCCAAACCTTCACCTCCATCTTCAACAGTTCCCGACAGTCCAGAAAAATAAGACTCCAGAACTAGCAGAGAACAGACACATCCAAGCGAAGCTGCTGAAAGAATCCGAAATGAAAAACAAACTATTTTTGCTGAAGGAAATTCTCACAAGAACCAAACATGCAGATCAAAAATCTAACCCAGAGGGGCTGAGGTCGTGGCTCAGTGGTAGAGCACTTGCCTAGCATGTGAGAAGCACAGGGTTCAATTCTCAGCACCACATATAGATAAATAAAGATCCATTGACAAATAAAAAAATATTAAAAAACAAACCCAGCAACAACAAATTGTGCTTATCAACAAAGGATATCTTTAAAAAAAATCTAACACAAGGGCTGGGGTTGTGGCTCAGTGTTAGAATGCTTGCCTAGCATGCGTGAGGCACTGGGTCCGATCCTCAGTACCACATAAATATAAAATAAAGATATTGTGTCCACCCAAAACTAAAAAATGAATATTTTTTTAAAAATGTAACACAGGGCTGGGGCGTGGCTCAGTACAGGACGCTCCCTTGGCGCACAAGGTCCTGCATTCCATAACCAATGCCACAAAAGACAGACAGATAACACCCAACTTGAGAAAAATTAGCTCAGCAAAGTCCACAAGTATGAAAGTTTCAAATACGAAACTGAAAAACTTAAAACAGAAGTGGACCCAAAAGAACCAAGAAGATGTAAAATGGGACTCTAACTGAACCTCAGGAAAGAAAGAGAAAAATAGGAAGACAGCCAAAGAAATATCAGAAACCAAGAGGCTAAAGGAGGCGGGCTGCGGATACAGCTGGTAGAGCGCACAAGGCCCTGGGTCCCTGGGTTCAATCCCCAGCACCACAAAAAAAAAAAAAAGGTAGGGGCTGGGGCTCAGCGGTAGAGAAACTTCAGCTTCCCATGTGCAGGGGCTGGAGGGGCTGCACTTGTAAGAAGGGAGTGTGACAGCCACAGGCAGCTGCACCCTCCCCACTGCCCTGGCCTTCCTTCCGCTCTAGCACCTGCTGGCCTCCTGCCCCCTTCAGCTCTGGCTGGCATCTCCCTCTGCCTGGAACACTCTGCCCTCAGGACCCCACAAGTTGACTCCCGTCTTTCAGTCCCCTTCATGGGAACACTTCTGTCCCCCACTGTGACCACCTGGAGTTCTTCTGTCTTGGATGCTGGCACGTGGGGACACTCACTTTGTGCAAATGAAATTTGTCTCTGTGCACTTCACCTTCCATAAACCTGAGCCAAGTGTGGTGGTGCACACCTATAGTCTGCTACTCAGGAGGCTGAGGCAAGAGGATTGCAAGTTGGAGGCCAGCCATGACAGCTTGACAAGGCCCTAAAGACTTAGCAAGACCCTGTCTCAAAATAAAGCATAAGGGCTGGGGTTGTGGCTGTGGTTGAACGCTTGCCTGGGTTCCAGCCTCAGAAGAACACAAAAATAAATAAATACATTAAATAAAGGTATTATATCCACCTACAACTAAGAATATTTTAAAATAAAACAAAACATTAAAAGGGGGGCGGGGCTGAGGATGTGGCTTAGTGGTTAAGCAACCCTGGGTTCAATCCCTGGTATCAAAAAAAAAAAAAAAAGGCGGGGGTGGGGCTGAGGATGTAGCAAACACAAGGGGAGGGAAAAAGCCAGGAGGAGGCGCCTCCCTGGCACTCTCTTCACAGCACTGGGCTCCGGGCCTCTTGCTGATCCTCCCGGGGCGTTCTAGTTCCTGCACACTCTCTCACACTAGACCGGACAGCAGGGACATACCTGCACTGTGAATGCTGCCGGCTGCCAGCATTAGAGCAGGGCATGGCACACAGCAGGTGCTTAATAAGGGCTTAATAAGTTCCTGTGCGCCCTGCGCATCCTGTGACCCCGGGCTGGGGGCGGGGTGCCGGCCGCCGCCTCACCTTCCTCTGCATCTTCTCCAGTAGCTTGCTCTTGGCCCTCACTTCCTCCTGGATGGAGTCGTAGACGTTGAGCAGCACCCAGTCCCCGCTGTCCTCGTCTGAGTTCTGCAGCGCCGCCACCAGCTGCTTTTTGCGCTCGTCCGCGTACCGCTTCCGCCGCTTGTGCTTCTCCTTCAGGTCCTTGTTCTTGGCCTGCTCCCCGCCCACCACCTGCTGCTCCAGCAACTGCAGGCTGCCAGCACCGAGGAGAAAGCAAACGTGGCAGAACTTGCCCATGAGGGAGCCTCTGCCATGGGACAGCTCTGCCTGGGCCGACCTCACCACGTCCTTCCCACAGCCCCAGGGCCCAGAGAGAGCACGGGCACCAGACGCTGGTTGCTCAGGCACCAGAGCTCCTTCCACATCCACCTAACTTCAAGCCTGTGCACTTGGCCACAGGAGGGGCGAGAGTCTTCCCATGGTCTCAGAGGTACCCCAGGCCCCCTGCCCTGATGCTGCCAGACCCTTTAAGAGCAGAAATGTTGGCTGGCACAGCGGCGCGGCCTGCAATCCCAGCAGCTCCGAAGGCTGAGGCAGGAGGATCACAAGTTCAAGACCGGCCTCAAGGCCCTGTCTCAAAATTTAAAAATATATATAAACGTCTGGGAATGTGGCTCAGTGGTAGAGCGCCCCAGGCTCAATCTCTGGTGCCAAAAAAAAAAAAAAGAAAAGAAAAAAGGACAAATGTTAAATAACCACAGAGGCCCACGGGCTCTCCACTGTCTAAGCACCACAGGAACGTTTTAGGCCCTGCCTCCTTCCAAAGGGGTGGAAGGCCAGGGAACAAGAGGCATCAGAGGGTTCCTGGAAGGGTGTGTGTGTGTGTGTGTGTGTGTGTGTGTGTGTGAAGGAGGGGGAGAAAGGAACTCAGGGCAGCCAGGCCCTGGGGTGGCTGTGTCCTCTAGGTTCCCTGGCAGCAGGACAGAAGGGGACCATGTCCAAGCCCCTCTTCTGCTAAAAGTCCTTCTGGGACCCCATGAGGATGAAGAACCCACCTAGGGACACCAGGGCCCCTCTTTCTTTCTCCGTACACACCCCAGGCTCCCTCCAGCTTGTGGCTGAGCTCCTCCCAGCAGTTTGCCAGCCCACACCGCTGCAGACGCAGATCGTCACCTGGGCATGTGGCCGGCACACCCTGCTCAGGAGTCCCCTTCCCTGACCTTCACTCCAAACCCCACTGTGAGAACAGCCACAAGGAACGCCGGGACCTCCTCTGGATGCTGCCTTGTTTACCCTCACCGGCTCCTCAGGCTGCGGCCAATGAGGTCACCCGTTCTACAGATGAGAAGCCCGGGCCCAGGGAGGTTGAAAGTCTGCCTGAAGGGGCAGGAGGCCGCAGGGAGCCCAGGCAGTGGGGCTGTGGTCCCATTAGCTTCTCTCTGCCCAGATGCAGGCACAGGTCCAGACCCTGGATGTCTAGTGCCCCCGGAAGGGAGGTCCCTGCAGACCCAGCAGCACCCTATTCTGGGTGCCTTTTGGTGCCCAGAGCTCAGATCCTGCTTGAACTGTGGTGCGGACATCAGGAGGAAGTTGAGCCTGGCCCACTGTCCTGGAGCTGGGCTAATGGGATCCCCATCAGCAGAAGTGAGTGGTGGGCTCAGGACAGTGACTTTGACAAAGCCATGAAGTAACTGAAGAAAGCCCAGCTCTCCAGGAGGTCCCAGGGGCCTTGGGGTGGCTTGTTCCCAAGGCAGGTGAGTCCCACATCATGGAGGGCAGTGGAGGCCAGCCAGAGGAACTGGGGACTCAGCTAGGACCCAGAGAGAGCCAGGCTCGGGAGGCTGGGCCACCATGGCCCCTTTACTTCTCCCTAGGGCTGCTGCTCCCCAGCAGGTGCCTGACCAGAACCTGGGGGCAGCCAACATAGCTCAGTGTGGAGGCCTGCCTGCCCAGCCAGCTGTGGCACCCCGACACCTTGACACCTCAGCCCAGTGGAGGGAGAGCAGGGCGCAGATCAATGGATACAGGGAGAAGCTCTCGGGCACATCCCACCCACCCCAGACCAGCCCCTGCTCCTTCCCGCCCTCCTGTGGGGTCCCCTGCCTGAGCAGCAGTGCTTACCGGGCCAGCACCTTCTGCTGATCCAGCAGCTCCTCAGTCAGCACAGCCACCTCCACACCCACGTTCTCCTTGCTCAAGCTCCCCACAGGATGCAGGGGCTGAGGCTGGGTCCCCTGGGCCGCCTCGGCCTCAGCCTCCATCCAAGAGCCAGGCTCTGCTGTGGACTCCACCTCATTTGTCACCTCTGAGACTAGATCCACTTCCTGAACACAGGGAGAAATCAAGACGGGGTTGGAAGGCCGACCTAGAGGCAAGTTTGCAGGTTCCCAATAAGGGACACCCCCCTGCCAAAGTTTGGGACAGATCACCTCTGGCTCAGAGACACAGGCTGAGCATCCCTAATCCAAACATAAAACCCCAGAATGCTCCAAAATCTAAAAATATTTTGAGTTTAATAATGCTCAAAGTTTCAGATATCAGAACATTTTAGGTTTCGATTTTCAGATAAGGGATGTTCAACTGTTAAAGTTTATGGAAACATCCCCAAATCCGAAAAACTGCAAAATCTGAAACACTTCTGGTCCTAAGCATTTCTGATAGGGTACAGGATATTCAACCTATACCCAGTTATAAAAATATTGTACCTAAATGAAATTTTACTGACACATCAGCACCCCCAAAACGGTTCCAGCTTTCTGTCTTACCCCCAACAATTCAGTCTCTACACGGCAACCAGGGCAATTTCTAAAAAATATAAACTGATCACAATGTCCCTTTCCTGACAGGAACCCTTCATGGCTTCCTGTCGAGTTAATTTACAGGAAAATCCAGTTTCCAACATGGCTGCTATATCCATAGCACTACCCCTACCCGTCATCCTGTCCACCCTTCGACCACCCCAGCACTATTTTGTATTGCTACGAAAGTCAAGGGCTTCCCAGTGACAGGACTTGGTACTTGTTGCTCTTCCTGGCCCCTTCCTTCATGCCTGGGTCCCCCCTCAATGTTACCTCCTAGCTGGGATTTCCAGTCACTCTACCACCTACTGAGCCAGCTGTATGCCAGCCTCACCCAGTGCTCAAGGGCACAGCCCACTGTCAGCATCCTCCATAAGAGTGGGTAAGGTAAAGGCTTCCTGGCACCCCCCCAGGGGTGCAGAAGAGAAAGGGCAGGTTCAAACTGGGTTCCACGGCCCTGGAGGGGTTCCTGGTGGTGCTCAGGGGCTACCAGCCCTGACCCAGTGCACACAGAGAAGCTGAGGAATTCTCAGTCTCATTTACATCAACCAAAAGCAGTGCTTCCTCTGATTTGAATACTGCTTAGTCTCGGGAGGTGGATGATAGTCCCTGTCTCATGAAAGAGGAGACCAAGGCCCAGGGAGGGAGGGGACAAGCCTGCGTTTCACAGAAAGCTGAATGGAGCCCCAGCACGTCACGCAGAGGGCCAGGGAGATACTCACAGTGCTGAGTGGGAGGTCACTGGACACCTCTGCTTCCGAACTGGTGTCACTGGGCTCCGGCAGTTCTGGTGGGGAGGGGTGCTCCAGGGAGAAAAGGGTGGGAGGAAGAGGGATGGTTTGGGCCAGAACCACCCTCTACTCCCCCACAGCCCCTGACCTCCACTGCAGCTCCCCAGGGCTGCTCCCGCTCCCACAGCCGCCTCTGCCTGTCTGCAGAGAGAAGGGCCCAAGGGGTGGAGAGAAGAGCAGGGAAGACAGGGCCTGTGCCCTCCACGATCTCATGCCAAACACCCAGCACTCTGAGGTCTGGGGAGGCAAAGGTCCTAGGTCACATAACTGAGGGAGTGTGGGCCTGGGATTTCGAGGGCCTGAGCTCATTCTCTCTCTCTCTTAGGAAAGGGGAGCAGAGACTCAGCAGGAGTGAAGAAGAACATTTTTTGAAAACTTAAAAAGGAGGGTTGAGGAGGGAAAGGACCACTCAGAGGATCAGGAAGGGGAGAGCAGGGCCCAGGCCCTGGGGGTCGACACTCCCCCATCCAGTGTGCTGCCCTGAGCCTGCGAGCACATGAGGGTGGACCAGGCCACCTGGTCTCTCAGGCCCACCCTCAGCAGGGTCCCTGGGCAGGTGCCCTCCTCACCAGACAGGCATCTACCTGGATAACCTGCACCTCCGTCCCTACCTTCCTACTGGCCTGTGGACCCTGGTGCCCCCAGCCAGCCCCGATGCTGAGGCCCAGCAGAGGCACTGCCACAGCAGCAGGTCAGCCAGGGTTGCCTGCTCAGTTTTTGTGGGCCTCATGCATTATGTCAGCTACCTGCTCGGGGACCTGGGGTGCGCCTGGCTGGGGTACGTCTATCCTGGCCACAGTGGAGGACAGTCTGGCCAGCTTGAGCTCCACCTCGGCGAAAGGGTCCTGCAGGCTCGGCAACAGCTGCAGCGGCAGCATCGACAGTCCCTCCCCCTGGACAGCGCTCTCTTCCTCCAGCGGGGGCCCAGCAGCCGCCTGGCCGAGATAGTCATCCAGGAAGTACTTGTCCCTGGGCTCCTCCTCGGGCACAGAGAACTCTCCATTGGAGAACTCCTCGGCACCAGGTAAGGCCTCAGACATGGAGGAGTCCAGCGGCGATGACTCCGACGCCCAGGAAACCTCACACCTAGAGGGCTCCTGGGGCGTGGAGAAGACCTCGGGCTTCGCCGCCAGCTCGTACTGGATCGCTGGTGGCTGCTCGGTCGTGTTGGCAAACTCGGCCCTGGATATGACCTCGGCCTTGTAGAGGACTTCTGCCTTCAGGACAGCCTCTGCAGAGAAGGAGAGCGTCCTGCAGCTTTCTACAGGGGAGGGGGAGGGGTCCGCCCCCAGGAAGCGGCCCACACCTTGTTTCCAGGAAGCCAGCTGACCAGAGCCTCCCGGTCCCTGGAGTCCAGCTTGCCGTCCATCCCTGCCCCATGTCCTCTCTCCATCATAATTCAAACCCAGCCTCCCTCTCCTCCTCCAGGAAGCCATTGCTGACCAGCACCATGCCCTCTCTGCTCCTGGATCTCCCCATCCACTAAGCGCAGGCTCTCCCCACCTCCGCTGACTTAGGAACGCCCTTTCACTTAGCAGGTGGCCCCATGGGTCTCCCTCCCTCCAGGGCTGAGAACTCGGAAGGTATGTGAACACGGGATGCGTGTTCCAGAAACCAAGTAAGGGTCCTTGGAGGCCTAATATTCAAACTGGAAGGAACACTATGAAGGACGGAAAATGCTAGAAGCTACCCCTTCCCTCTTTTTCTGTGTCTCGGTCAAGAGCCAAGGCTCCCTCCCAGCTGGGACAGAGCTCACACAGTCCAGCTCAGGGGCTTCAGACGACCCCTTAACGTCCCATCCATTTCTTTTTTTTCTTTTTTTTTTTTTTTAAAGAGAGAGTGAGAGAGGAGAGGGAGAGAGAGAGAGAGAGAGTGAGAGAGGAGAGGGAGAGAGAGAGAGAGAGAGAGAATTTTCAATATTTATTTTTCAGTTCTCGGAGGACACAACATCTTTGTTGGTATGTGGTGCTGAGGATCGAACCCAGGCTGCACGCATACCAGGCGAGCGCGCTACCGCTTGAGCCACATCCCCAGCCCCCATCCATTTCTTTATTGCTTATATTCTAGGCTCCCGAAGAGGGTCCTGATCCCCCCCCCCCGCCCGACACACACACACTTATTTTTTGCAGTACTGGGGCTGGAACCCAGGGCCTTGAACATGATGAGCAAGCACCCAGCCACTGAGCCCTTTTCATTTTATTTTGAGACAGTCTCTCTAAGTTACTGGCCTCAGACTGGTCCTCTTGTCTCGGCCTCAGAGGTGCTGGGATTCCAGGTGAGCGCCAACTCTGGCCCTGAGTCCCTTTGCTGAAACGTGATGTGCTCTCCCTGGCTGGTGTCCTGAACCTGAGCTTTGGTTTCCAAGCCTGTTGGGTGAGGATCTGGGGGGTCCTACTTCCCTAGGTTGGGGTAGGTATGAGGAGAGGGCGACAGAGCACCCACGCGTACCCCGCACCCAGGAAAGCCCAACTGAGTCTCACAGGAGAAGGGTTTTGCCATCCTGGGTGAGCCCTAGGTGAGCCCAGCCGCCTGGCAGCCTGGGGGTTTGAATGATACTCATGAAGGGAGCATCCTAAAAGGTCAAAACAAAGACAGGAACTTCCACACAAGCTCACACTTGCTAATGACTGGATCCTTGTGGGATGTGGTTGCTTTGGAAACAGGCTCAAAAATAAGAGGAGACTGTAGAAGACGCAGAACCTTGGGGCAGGGACTGCATTCTCAAACCAGGGTGACACTGCACACATACAAGTCAGCCCTGAGCTGGGCAAGCCTGTGGCCAAGCACCAGGACATGCGGCATCACTGTGAGAACACTGGTCTGGGGCCAGGTGGCCTGGGATCAAATCCTGACTTCACCTTACCAGGTAAGTAGGTTACTTACCTTCTCTGGGCCTCCGTTTCCTCATCTACAAAATGAGGATAACTGTGGACCTACCCGTGGGCCAGTGTGAGGATTAAAGAGTGGGGCCTGCGGTGTGGAGTGCAGTCTATAAATGCTGGTTCTAAAGGGGGTGGGCGTGCCCACCTGTCTCCTTCCGCAGGTTCTCCTCCAGCGTGGACAGCTTCATATCATAGGAGTTGCGCATGGCAGTGATGTCTTCCTCCAGCCTGGCCCGGGACTCCTGCTCTGCCTCGTAGTCAGCCTTCAGCCGGGCCAGGCGCTCCTCGTACTCCTGGGGGTCAGGGGGAAAGCAGGGGCCAGCACTTTACCACCACTCACCACCTGGCTCTCAGTGTTCCCTGTGCTTACTCAAATGACACAGGAAGGGGCTGGGGTTGTGGCTCAGTGGCAGAACGCGTGCCTCGCCAGGTTCGATCCTCAGCACCACAAAAAAGTGAATAAACAAAATAAAGATATTGTGTCCATGTATAACTAAAAAATGTTTTTAAAAATGACACAGGAAATACAAGTGATCAAAAGAAGAACATTAAGCCCCCTGTGCAGCCTGGCCAGGGATCACCCCTCTGAATCTGCCCTGTGCGTTTTGCTTTCTGTAGTTCTGGGGTGGAACCCAGGGCACTGCATGTACCAGGCAAGCGCTCTAGCACTGAGCTGCACCCCAAGCCCACGAAGGGACTCTCCTTTTAACTTTTCAACTTTGACTTACTAACAAGAAGGTCACAGAGTAGGAGAAAATATTTCCAAAACATAAATCTGGTAAGAGACTTTTATCCAGAATAAAGAACTTTTTTTTTTTTTGCCTATACTCTGAACCCAGGGGTGCTCTACCACTGAGCCACATCTCAGCCCAATCACTCTTCATTTTTGCCACACTGGAGGGTGACCAGTAACTTGCCAATCCAGACACAGTACTTTCTCCTGCTCCTTAGCAAGGTTCTCCCCAGGCCTCAGCTTAATAGTGCCCCTCAGCCATGTCCCCACCACACTCTTGGAAGACCCCTGCCACTCTGCCACTGCATCGTCTTCTCTGATGTGCACTCCCTGGGACACCCCTCAGCCCATCCTCAGCCCATCCTCAGATGCATTTGTACTTCAGGTAATAGCCGCAGTGTCACCGAGGCCCGGGGAGGTTCCACCACCAACGGGGCAGCTCTCTGACAGCCTGGAAGACCGCCCACCACCCCCGTCCTCGATTCCTTGAGAATCCCAGCCAGCGCACCCTCATTCCTGAGCCAGCACCCGCTTGCTCACCCTGAGTCCTTTGCAGTTTTCTCCCAACACAGGCCTGACCCTGGTGCGCCCGGCCTCAGCCACCAAGCCCTGCGCCCCGAAAAGCCAGTCTGGGAACGCGCGGCGGAGCCACCCTTCTCACTGTTAAACGAGGGGCCCTGAATCTCGGGGCCTCTAAGTGGCTGAGCACCCTGCCCTGTCCCCACCGTCTTCATCTGTTCTCTGTACTCTGCACGCCCCCACAACTCCTGCGTCTGCCTACACGGCAACACCGAAGCCATGGGCGCTGTCACCTGCCCGTCCACCTGCAGGCTGCCGAGCGCCCCCTGTGGCCATCAGCCACCTCTGGAGCAGAGCCTGGAGGCCTTTCAGTCCCCAACTCCCTGCCATCCTCTCTACTGGAAGGCTCCCCACCAGTCTCACCCCAACCTCCCTGGGCCCCACAGGCCCTCCAGCTACAGTGTGCAGCGTGGGCTTGGAGAGGGCTGAATGGGGCTGGAGAGCAAGGCCAGCCCCCAACTTCAGGTGGCCAGCTCCACAACCCAGCCACAGGAAGACAGCTCTTCCCCCTGCACGCCCAGGCCCACACCGGCAGCAAGCACGAGAGCCCAACGGGCAGACAGGGCCCAGAGAGCTGCAGCAACCAGACCGAGGCCACAGCGCCCTGCAGGACTTGACGTGTGGTGTGAACGGCTGGCTGCTCCCTGAGAATCTTCCAGTAGGAAATCTCACATGTGGACTGGAGACAGCGCCTTGCCGCACCTGGGCTCCTAGCTGAGCCCCTCCACCACACAGAGGGGCCTCCCTCCTGAGCATCTGCCGGCTGAAGAGGAAAGGAAACCCAGTCCCAGGCAGGGGGCAAGTGCAGTAAATATGACAGTCAAGAGGGAGAACAAACGGCAGGGAGGAGGGAGGACACACATCCTCAACCCTTCCAAGTGGCTCGGAGCAGAAACTCCAGGGTTATCAGGGAGTCTCAGTGTCAGTGGAAACGCAGAACACTCCGGTGGACGCTGGCCACACCCATCCCCAGGGACCAGAGGGACCCTCCCATCTTCCTGTATACAGTCTCACAGTGGCTTGCCAGGAAGGGTGTCCCTACCCCATGATGACCACTAGGGGGCGGTGGCGCCTGCTCATTGGACAGCCTGGGCACCAGCTCCACAAGGCAGCCTTGGGGAAGCCGTGATCACAGCTCCAGTCCGACAGTCCTTCCTGGATCTAACCAAAGTCCACCAGTTGATTCCACACCCTCCCGGGGCCCTGCAAACCTGACTTCTCTTGCTTCTGTGGGCTTGTGCTCCACCATCCCTTGCCGCCACCTCCCCAGAGGCAGACCAGGGCTCCAGAGACAGACCTGGCACCAGACCCTGCCCCAGACTCATAGGAGAAAAGGTGAACTGAGCAGCTGGGCTCCCGGGACCCCCAGCCCACAAGACAGGCCCCAGGCCTTACCAGCTGCACTGTCCACAGCCTGGGCACCAGGCCCCGCAGCTGGCACAGGCAGACCCAGGGCCTGAGGGCTGCCCCCAGCTGAGGTCATAGTTGAGTGGCAGGGGCCCAGGTGCAGAAGCAGCTAGGACAGACCCCTGCAGAGTCGGCTCTGCCTGGCAGTAGGTCCACTGTCAGGAGAAGCCACTTCCCTAAAGGGACTATCAAATGTCAAGCTCCACTACAGGCTCAGCACCTGGAGCAGGGACGGAGCCTAAGCCGGGAGGCTCAGCCTTCCCTCTGCCCATCAGCTCTCCACCTGCCCTCCTGCTTCCCAGGGACCCTGGGAGACACATGTGGAAGACCCAGGTGTCCCCAGCAGCAGCTTTTCCTAGGAGGCCAACACTCTGCTGACAGTGGTCAGTTGGGCTGCCAGGCTCTTGGCCCCGGGCTGGCTGGCAGCTGCTAAGAGAGATTCCTGCATGGGGCCAAATGACCTTGACCTGGCTCATTCCCATCCATATCCAGCCCTCCCCTCAGGCCTGGGGAGGATGCGCTCCTGGGGCTGTCCCGTGCCCTCTGCTGTCCTTACACATGTGTGCCCAAGGCATGGGCTGCAGGCAAGAGCCAGGAACCTGGGTTCAGATCCTGGCTCAGACTCTCCATAGCTATGACCTTGGGCAAAGCAACAACAACTCTTTGAGCCCTAGCTTTCTTCAGCACAAAGAGAAGGCCGCGGCCCCAGCCCCATGGGACAGGTGAGGGGGTGCTATCCTGTGTTCTCTGGCCCTCCCAGGCCTAAAGCAGCAGTCACCCTCCCTTTCCTGCAAGCCTGCTCCCCCACATAACCAGGCCTCACCTCCCGAATTAGCTGCTTCTCCGCCTCTGTGTCTTGTTGGATCACAGGGGTGGGCCAGGGCTTCTCCTCAACCTGGACAGGCTTTGGGGGTGCCTGGCTGGACAGCAGAGCTAGGAGGAAAACATGGGTAAGGAGCCATGAGCGAGGCACTGGGTTTGCAGGAACTAAGCAGAAATCAGTCACGCAGCGACTAGGAAAAGACACGTCTCTATATAAAGTATCGTTGGTCATCCAACAAATCTGTAGGTGCATCCAGACCCTGGGGTGCAGCACTGGACAGAGCACATGAAACTCCACAGCCATGCTGAGCTTTCCACCAGGGGAGAAAGGCAAAAACAGAACCAAGCAAAACGTGTCACCTGTCACAGGAGATGTGTACAGAGAAACCAACCTCGGGGAGCAGGCTCAGAGGTACGGACCCCGAGGAGGGCTGCACTTTGAATACTGTGAAGACCTCTTAGAGGAGGTGAGATGAAGGCAGAGAGCTGAAAGAGGAGGAGGAGGAGGAGGAAGAAGAGGAGGAGGAGGAGGAGGAGGAGGAGGCAGAATCCAGGGGAGGGCTTCCCAGACAGAGTGTGAAGGCCCCGGGGGCAGGTCTGGGACTACACTAGAGGCCAGTGGCTGGAGTGGAGCGGCGTAAGGGGGACAGTGGGCAGGGTGCAGCTGAGGAGGGCGCAAGGCCAGATCCCAAATCCACAGCTAGGACAGGCCTGTGAGCCCAGCAGAAATACTCCAACCAGCCAGGCCTCAGCTGTCCCCCTGCCAGGTCCTGGATTCCCCCAGAAACCCCAGAAAAGCCAAAGGTGACCATGGAGGGAGGAGAGACAGGACAGCTCCTTGGAGGGAGGACAGAGGGAGCGGGGAGAAAGACTGGGACCAGCAAACGCAGACAAACGTTTCACATTTTGCTAAAATTTTTTTAGAAACACGCCAGGAGCCAGAGGGAAGGCCAGGCCTAGCCAGCACCGGGGGAGGCTCCTGGAGCCTGGAGTTCCACAGGCCTGGCTGGAGGCTCAGCTCCTGGCCAGGGCGGCCTGGGCTGTCTGGGGGCCTGTGAGCCAGATCCAGGCTGAGGTCTCACGGGCATCTCTCAGGCCATTCCCAGATCCCGGCCAAAAACAAGCCAGCGTGGCCTCCACCTCCATTCCCACAGGAGGTGAGCTGGCTACCTCTGCCCCCGCCCCGTGTTCCTCAGCAATCTGCGTGTTGCGGCCCACAGCAGCCACTCTCACCCTGCGAGACGGGCTCACCACGGCCTCCTCTGTGCGCCTTCTCTGACTGGCCACGGGCTACCCCTAGACAGACCTGGCCACACACTCCTTTCTGCCCTATAGTCTGTCGCTGTGTGAGAGTCTGCTGGAGCGTCCTCTGGCCCAGGAGACCTGGGCCCCATGAGACCCTGGGTCTGAGTCATGGCTGTGTCCCCAGCACGCAGCCACACGAAGAGGTGGTGCTCAGGGAATCCTGGACGGGTGGGCAGTGGGTGGGAGGAAAGATGGAGGAGTGGGTGGCAGGGTGGAGCATGGGTCTGTGGGTGGCCGTGGATGGGGCTGGTGGTCAGAATGGGTGAATGCAGGGATGGACTGAGGAGGGAGGGAGGGAGGGAGATGGAGGAGGAGGGAGGGGAGGGAGGGGAGACAGTGCACAGGCAGCCTGGCTGGGAGGCGGGAGGCAGATGAGAAGGGAGAGGTGACTGGTGATGGGTGACTGGTGATGGGTGACTGGCGATGGCAGGTGCGTGGGCAGAGGGAGGGCCACGTGGGACGGAGGGCACAGGACGGTGGGCAGGACGGCCGGAGTGGATGAGCCCAGGCTCTCTGCTCCCTCCTTGGGGGACTGAGAACAGGGGGGTCCCAGAGTCCTCCGGCCGCACCCTGCAGGCCCACTCCTGGCACGATCCCCTGCCAGATGACAGCCGAGCCTGGGCGTGAAAGCCGCAATGACAAGGTGCCTAATTAGGCACAGGGTGGGGCGTGGGGAAGTGAGTCACCCCGCTGCTGAGCTCACGACGCTGCCAGAGACGTGGGCAGGCAGGTGACAGATGAGCCCAGAGGCGGGGAGTGGGCGACAAGGGCCTGCAGCTGAGGGACAGGTCAGGCAGACTGGCCTCTTCCTAGGGGAGGGCCAGGCGGAAGCCATGTCGGTGGTGGAGGCGGAGGTGGGCGCTGCTCCCAGCCTCCCTGCCACCCGGGCCGCCCACCTGCCAGGCTGCTGGGGCTCATCTGCTGCGCCAGGATGGCCTTGAGCCTCTTGATCTCCTCCTGGTACTCCCGGAGCAGGGCGTCCTTGGGGTCCTCATTGATGCGCGGCTTGTTCTTGATGTTCTTGGCCCGGTTGGCGTAGCGCAGCGTGCTGAGGGTCTCGTCGTAATTGTTGTCGGCGGGGGACAGGCAGGCCACCATCAGCGTCTTGGTGTTGCCGCCCAGGGAGTCCTGCAGCAGCCGCGTCAGCTTGGAGTCGCGGTAGGGGATGTGCTTGCAGCGCCCGTCCACCAGCGCCGAGATGACGTTGCCCAGGGCGGACAGCGACAGGTTGATCTTGGTGGCCTCCTTGAGCCGCTCCCCGGTGGCCCCCGTCTTGGACTGCCGCTCACTGCCTGCCAGGTCCACCAGGTTCAGCTTGCCGGCTCGGAGGTGGTCCTTGCCCCGCTCGTCTGCAGACAACCAGGCGGGAGGCGGACCGTGGGTGAGTCCTCGGTAGCTATGGCAGTTCACCACCAGGCCCTGAGGGCCCACCACCCACCCAAGGCCTCACATCAGGCCAACAGGAGCCACACAAAGGAGGTGCAACCATTGTGCCCATCTTACAGAGGAGGAAACTGAGGCTCAGAAAGGGCATGTAACTTTCCCAAGGTCGCCCAGCTGCCAAGAAGTAGAGCCAAGACCAGAACCCAGGGCTATCTTTTTCCAGAGAGCGCAGTCTGGGAGGGACAGAGTGTTCTGAAGGCAGCAGGATTCCTTTTGGCCACCACATCAATTCCTACAGACTTCTTGTGTGTTCTTTCACACACACACACACACACACACACACACACACAAATGCTTTAGAAATCCTTGGACCTAGTTCCCAATGCAGTCCTGCCTCCTCCTTGCTGTGTGACATTAGCAGAGCAATGCACCTCTCTGAGTCTCAATTTCACACATCCATGAAGTGAGACTAGCAATCTTCTAGAGTAGATTGGTGGCACATTCTTGCAGGATCTACCTGGGGCCAGCACATATTGGGGGTTCATTCCTCTGGGAACAGGGACAGTTCTGCAGGGCCTGGGGCTGTGCCAGTAGAGCAGACCTTGGGCGTTGGGGGTGACAGGAGAGCCAGGCACTGGCTGGGAGCACGGGGCTTAGAAACAGGTTTTTGAAGACACAGATCTGGAGGGTCACATCCTGATTCTGTCCCTTAGTGGCTACAAAACTGCAGGAAATGGCTTCCCCCTGGACTGGAAAGCTCAGCCTTCCTCCCGTGCAGGGAGCCGAACCCTCCTGACTGGGTGGGGTCCCACAGGGCACCCACTGGCAGAACCCTGGCGCCCCTGGCTGAGGGCAGAGCCCATGCCACGACAGCTTGCTGCTTCGTGCCACTGAGGTTCTTAGTCATGGTCACGAGGTCACCAAAACTCCCCAAGAGAAAGGGGGTAAAAATCATTTGTTTCTGACTTCTCTGTGAACTAGGCCCAAACTCGGGATGTGGGAGGGAGTGGACAGGGCACGGAGCTTCCTCCCTGTTTCCCACGGGCTGGACCAGCATTGGCCTGAGTCGTGTCCATGGGCACAGCAGTAAAAGTCTGGCTGCACCCGGTAGTGACAGACATGCAAGGGGCTTCGTTCTTCAGGTTTAAAAGGAGAAAGAGAAGGGGGGAGCTGTGGGGGCAGGTGCACATCTACAATCCCAGCCACTCGGGAGGCTGAGGCAGGAGGACAAGTTCAGGTGAGCCGGGGCAACTTAGCAAGACCCTGTCTCAAGATAAAATAAAACAGGGGCTGGAGATGTAGCTCAGTGGTCGAGCACCCCTGGGTTCAGTTCCCAGCAACCCCCAACACACACACACAGCGGGGGCGCGGGGGGAAGAAACTTCATACTACTCCTCTGGAAAGCTATTTGCAGAATGTACCAAAATGTACCAGGAGCCGTGAACCTGTTCGTTCCCTTTGTTTCCTGAGTCCAGTCCCGGGATCTAACTAACCCGAGGAGATGCCTCCCAAGGCAGAAAAGGCTTTGAGCACAAAGATGTCCCTCACAGCATTAGTTACAGCGATAGGCTGGTTTTACCCCTTGTTTGGGGAGGGGTTAGAAAGAGCATGAGCCATGGGCTGTCCTCTGGCCACACACGATCACAAAGACACGGTGAGGAGATGGGCCTGGGGTGAACGCCACGAAAGAACCACAAAGAGCAGAAGAGTCCAACTACGTCTGAAAATTTCATAGGAAAAAAAGTGCCGGGCTGGGCGCCACGGTGCAGGCCTGTAATCCCAGCAACTTGGGAGGCCGAGGCAGGAGGATGACCAGTTCCAGGCCAGTCCCAGTAACTCAGTGAGGCACTGTCTCAAAATAAAAAATAGAAAGGGCTGGGGATGTGGCTCCGGGTTAAGCACGGGCCAATCCCTAGTGCCACTAAAAAGAGCAAAAGTGGAGCTGGCTCAGCCCTGGGTACTGCTGTTTACCCAGGAAGCAGGGGCCCAGCAGGGGGCACCAGCTGTTCCCAAAGGTCAGGGTCAGGGCATCTCTTCCCAGTTTCCCTTGGGGCCTGCGGGAACCTGGCTCAGGTGGTCGGGGCCTCCCTCCCCCCACCCCGCCACATACCCACGGCGTAGATCTCGATGCTGATGGTGAAGATGGAGTGGGAGCGCGAGGAGTCCTTGTTCATCAGGGTGTAGCCCACCGAGCGGTTCTTCCAGCCCGTCTCCATGATGCGCTCGCACTGGGCCACGCTGTGCACCGTGTGCAGGGACAGCCCCTTCACGTACACACCCTTCTCCGGGTGCTCCTTCAGCTGTGGCAGGAGGAATAGGTCGGGCCAAAGCCTCCTGCCTCCGAGGTTGGGATCAGAGATCCCCAAGAAACCTGAGAAAGGGCCAATCCAGGCAACCAGGCCCTCCTGCAGCACAGCGGGGCCAGGCAGCGCACCTGCCCTGGCTTCCTGCCTGCTGTGAGACCTCAGGCCAGTGACCTAACCCGAACCTCGGTTTTCACATCTGTAAAATGGGTATGAGATAGGGGACTACAGTAAAGATCCAGTAAAATAAGGCACAGACAATGATCAGCATGCGCCCAGTGTGTGGGAATTGCCTGCGGAATGCAGCTGAGGTCTGGGCTGTCATTGTTAGAATAATTCCCAAGAAGTGGTTCTCAGACTGGGGGCTTCAGCTCCCTGGGGCTGATTCTGTAGTCACCCGAGGGCTCTGACTGGTCTCCAATCTTTCCATGTGGCTCCTGATTGCCTCTCTGCAGTTCCTCCAGGGCCACGGGGATGTCCCCAGGCCCTTGGAGGTGGCAGTGAAGGGCCATTTGCATCGCATCCCAGAACCCCCAAGGATCAAACTGGCCCAATCTAACTGCAATAGCAGGGACCAGGTAGCACATCCGGGAGCTCCCGGCTGGATCTGCAGGCAGCCACGCTGTTTAGCGGTGACACAGAGCTGTGAAAGGCAATATTTTTCAAGTGTGAGAGGAAAACAAAACCACTCTGGCAAGAGCGGAATGAATTAGGACAACAGGTGTTTGTCTGCCAAATGGCCCTACTGCTTGGAGACACTGAAGGCTCAGATGCATTGCTCCAGGCAGCTTCAAGGGTCCCCAGTGGGCTGGGCCCCTGCTGTGTGTGGGCAAGCACAGGCTGGGCCCCTCTACTCAGGTGTGAAGTGCAGAAGCAGCCAGACCCAGCTTGAAGGGCTTTCATGCAATGGATAAGCAACTGAGGCACAGAGTGGCTAAGCAACTTGTTGAAGGCTACACAGCTATTAGAGGTGATAGAAGGCTCTAGAGACAGGGTAAAGAGAGCATCCCATAGAACTGCAGCTTGAAGTGACAAAGGGCTGACCTTGTCCTAGTTGTGGTGGTAAGAAGGAGCACAAAGGACAGAAGCAGGAGTCCCTGCAAACAGTGTGGCTGGACACCAGCCCAGGGCTCTGTGGCAGTATTGAGGCCTGCCCACCTCGGGAACTCAGAACCCACCTGTGCACAGCGAGCCCAAGGAGGGCCTGGGCACCTGCCTTCAGGAAGCACCTATTTAGCCAGTTTCTTATTTAGTCAGACAAACTCAGGCAGGAAACCTGGTCTGTGACTTGCTAGGTGGGAAATCCGTTTGCCTGGGGCCCCAAGTCCCTCGTCTGTGCGGTGGCCATGATGAATCCTAATTCTGCAAGACTGTTCCGAGGCTGTGGAGGGAACAATCTAAAACAAATGCCGCAGGTACTTAGCGGGGCTCAATGAACCAGGACGTAAAGACGACAAGGACACTGACTCAGGCCTGAGCAACCGAGGGACATCCCTCAGGAGGGGGTCTCCCCTGTTTTAGCCCCAGGAAGTCTTTCCCTCACCTGTGATGCCCCAGGGGCGTCCTCCTGCTACTCCTCCCCTGCCACCCTCCCGCCCTGCCCTGGGAAGACGCCAAGGGGCATCGAGCGGCCAGTGCATGCCCCCTTCCTTGGTAACTGCTCAGAGCAAGGTCACCATGGCAACCGACCGGGATGAGACAGGGAAGGAGAGAAACTCAGGATCAGGGACGTGACCAGGGTCCAGTCCCAGTCCATGGGGAGGGGCAGGCCCTAATGCTCTGCCTGCACGCGGGTAGGGGGACGCAACTTGAGCCCCGTGCCCCATGGGCCCGTCCCCACACACCACTGGGCCGGGTCCCGGGTGTTTGCAGGAGCTCGGGGAAGGGAGACTAACACCCCAAAATGACCTGCAGGCCTTTGCTGACCCAGTGACCTCTAATTATAAAATCAACAGGCCCCCATGAAGCCCAGGTTAGAGCTTGTGCTGAAATGTGGCCCCGAGTTCAACCCCTCGCCACTCTTCTAAGGGGAGCCCTGGCTGGTCACAGGAAGGTGCACTAAGCCTCAGCTTCCTCCTCACCGTCAAGGGTGAGAACAGTCCCTCCACAGGAGGCTTCGGGGACAGCCTGAGGGAGCACCTAAGGCCTGTGCCCCAGCAGCCGGAGGCAGCGGGCTCACCAAGCCTGAAGCCTGTGTGTGCAGTGGCAGGAAGGCGCCTCCCGGGTCCCCAGGTCGTCTAGGGTCCTGGAAGCGGAGGAGAGGCCCCGCTGCCCCAGCGCGGGCTGATGGAGGGCTGCAAACAGGTGGCCCAGCCCCTGGCCTTCTGCAGCTGCCAACGGGAGCTGTGCTGCCTCCTCGCCCTGCTTCCCGTCTGGGGGCTGAGCTCTGACTCAGCTGTGCCAGGAGAGAGGAGATGGCACAGAGGCTCCAGGTGGGCGGCCGGGCTCCTGCCTGGAGAGGAAGAAGCTCCATTTTGCAGAGCGAGCAGGAGGAGGGGCTGGAGTCCTGGGAGGCGAGAGGGGCTCACTCCTGGTGCAGCGCGTGGCCTGGCCCTGGCACCTGGCACCCACAGGGCCTTCCCAGTAAGCCTCTGTTGATAAGTGAATCAACGGATGACTGTCCCTCCCTCCTTGGAACTGAAATCACTGGCTTGTTATTGGCCTCCAACGGGGGTTGGTCGGACGGGCAGCAGCAGAGCCGGAGCAGCGGGAAGATGGCAGGAAGACGGCCCACCGGGGCTCTGGCTGCACAGCGGGGTCAGCATCCCCCACTGGCCTCTTTTCTCCTTGCACCAGGCCAGACCCGTCAGCATATAAGGAGCCTCCGACAGGAGACATAGCAGTGCCTCTCGCCAGGCAAAGGCCAAGAGCCTCAGACCTGAGTCCAGCCCGGCCACTGGCTGGCCACCCTGTCCTGGCAGGTCTCTTGACCTCCCTGGGCTCCCCAAAGCCCAGCCTGGTTCTGCCTATCTGGATAGAACCCCAAACATCTAACTCTGCTTGCTCCCCACCGCTGTGAAGTGACATCAGCCATCCTGAGTCTAGGCTTTTAGGAGACTGAGGACAATTTATGAAACTTGCACAAGGGTCACCGACTGAGCCAGCCCTAACCTTCTAAGCTGTTGCGAGTTGCTGATCTGTCCTGACGCTGCCCCTGGAGGATTCCACTCCGCAACAGCCCATCACAGTCACCCTCCTTTCTCTCAGTCCCAACAGGAAGTCGCTCACTCTGGGCACCAGTAAGCCCTGCCACTCTTCCCAACTGCCCTCCTCAACACTCAGCGATCCTGTGCAGCCCCATCCTGAGTCCCCTTTCAAAGGGAATAAGGCCTCAGAACCTGAGCTCAGCAGCAGCAAAATGACATTTGAGACCCGGGACCTTGAATCAGACAGACCTAGTTCAGCCTGCTGCTGCAATATTTAACTTAGACAAGTTAATGACCCTTTTTTTTTTCCTTTTATTCTTTTTTTTCTTTTCGTATGGGGTATTGAAACCAGGGTCACTTTGCCACTGAACTATACCCCGCACACATTTTTCTTTTTCTTTTTGAGTCAGGGCCTTGCTAAGGTGTTGAGGCTGGCCTTGAACTTTCGATTCTCCTACCTCGGTGCCTTGTTCCTCCTGAGTCCCTGGAGTGACAGGTGTGCGCCCCTGCACCCTGCATTCATGACCCCTTCTAAACCTCCCTTCCACAGTGGTAAATTAGAAATGAAAATCTTTACCCAGCAGGTCACCACAGGTATTAAATGGGACCAAGCTTTCTCTTTTAGCATGAAGGGCCCTTAGAGATTTCCATAGTTATTTCTTACAAGTAGAATCCAGCTGCCGGCTGATGATCCAGCTGCCAGCAAACTTCCAGCTGCCGGCTGAATCCCTTTTTCAAGGGCCTGGGGTAGTGGCTCAGTGGTAGAGCACTCACCTAACATGTGTGAGGCCCTGGGTTAGATCCTCAGCACCACATATAAATAAATAAATAAATAAAATAAAGGTCTTGGGTCCAACTACAACTAAAAATGAATATTTAAAAGAAAATCACTTTTTTAAGTAAAAATATATCACAAAACTCCCTCTGCTTGAACACTCAGACATGGCATTGCCCAGGACCAGACTGCCCTCGTGCGCTGGGTGGGAGGCCCATGAACCCCTCTCCTGCACCGTGGGCTTGACAGAAAACACTCTGAAGCTCCACAGGCTGACTCTGGTCTAGACCAGCACCTGCACCCGCAGGCTGCGCTCCCTGCACTCCTAAGGGAGGCCATGGCCTCCCCACACGGGTCTGTACCCACCTCCAGCTTCTGCTTGGTATCAGCCCCCAGCAGGTCACGGACATCTTCATTGTAGATCTCCAGGTAAGAGGCCCGGACCAGAAACTTGGTGTTCTCTGCACACTGTGGCGATTAGACACACAGAGACATCTGAGGCCAAAGCCTCCCTCCGGCTGCCAGGCCTGGGCCTCCACAGCCGGCAAATCACCAGAAGAGGGTGACGCAGGTTTGCATGACACGAGTCCCCATCCCGGCCTAGCCCTCCTATCCTTCTGGCAAAGCCCCCACCTCTCCAGCTCAGGGGAGCCTCAGGCCTCACCCTGTTGCAGAATTCTGTCAATAAACCACATGGGGAAGAAAAGAAGCCTGTCCATTACTCAGGCAGAGAAACTGAGGCCACAGGTAAGGCCTGGAGCCAGCACTGACTCTGGGCTGATCTCTGGCAGCTCTCCCAGCCCCTTCGTGTCCCTGAGTGGTGGTCAGGCTGGATAGCGAGATCATTACGCGAGGGGCCTTTCTTGGTCCGTGACAACTGCTTGATACAAAGGGAGCCATATTGCTATAACCACCTCGGCTGTAGTGCTCCACCTCCACAGCCACGGGAAATGTCAAGTGAGTGCTAAGATCCAAAAATGGCAGGAGGAAGACGTGGGACTGGCAGAATTTTCTCAGCTTTAAGTTTTTCTTCCACCAGGATTTTCAGAAACCAGTGTCTGCCACCCCTGATCTGCGCCAAGTCTAGGCTGGGCTCTGACCTCATCCCACAGTCCACGGCACAGGCCAGAAACACCCTGGGGCCACCTGGGGCGCTGGCCCTGCCCTCTCCCTCTGAGAGGCCCGTACCTGAACACTCTCAAACACGTGCTCAAAGGCCCTGGGGATGATGCCCCTCTGGGACGGTGGCTCTGGCAGGCCCTGCATGGTGAAGGACTTTCCGCTGCCCGTCTGGCCGTAGGCAAAGATGGTGCCATTGTAGCCCTCGGTGACTCCCTGCATGGGAGGAAACCAAAACCAGGCACTCAGGTGACCAGGCCCAGGTGGGCAATCAGAGACCCACAGACTCCGGAAAATTCCCTGGGTATCCCACCAATGAACCCGGGGGCATGGGTAAGGAGTGGAGAGGCCTAAGGTACAACTCCGGTAGTTCGTAGTCCAGGGGTAGGAATCTGTTCCCACGGGGCAAGCACTTGGCTGACCCCAGGCCACAGAGGTACCGGCCAGGAGAGGGGTGCCAACAAGTGAAACAGGACATGGCAGGAACCAGGCACAGGCTTCTGGGTGGTAAAGGTCCAACTGGGTTGGGGGACTGAAAGGGTAGCTTGGATTTTGACAGGTGACAGGAAGAAGGTACCTCAGGTTGAGGGGACAGCTGGAGCAAAGACACAAGGGACAGATGTTGAGCAGAGGTGGAGCAGGGGCGGGTGGGGGGCACAGAAGAGGTGGCTGGGAAGGAAGGCTGGAGGTGACGCGGGTGCCATTTCTAAATCATTCTTCACTCATCTCTACAGTTATTCCCCCGGGACTGGCTGTCTTCTCTGTGCCAGGCACCGTGCTCTGGCTGGACAAGAGTGGACAAGGACACGGTCTCTGCCCCCAGAGAACGGCTCCCAGGGCTCAAGGGCCTACCGGGCACCGACACCTGGTTCCACTGAAGGACCTCTGCTGTGGACCACATCAGAGCTCAGCGGGCAGCCCCCAGAGCTGTGGGACAAGAAGGCAGGAGCCGCTATTCACAGGTCCCCAAGAAGACGAGGTCTCACTTTTATGGGGTAGAAGTGAATGAATGAACTCTTCTCCCTCGTCCAAGGAAATCGTGACTAGCGTGAGTTCCTGCAGCTTCTCAGAGAGGTGGGCCTCACGCATGGAACCCCCTCCAACCCCATCAGAGTGGGGACAGGCAGGAGCCCATGTCCTGAGGCTGGGCTTCTCAAACCCATGGGCCAGGAGAGAGAGGGTCATGAAGCCTCTGGGAAAACATGGAGTGGCTCCACAGTACCAATGGGACCCGAACAGGAAGAGAGCCTACATAAAAAGAGATATAATATGCATGTGCGAGTATGCACAATGATCCACTATTATGCATGATTATCATGCACCAATACAAATTTTTTTGTTGGTACTAGGGATTGAACCCAGGGACACTCAACCACTGAGTCACATCCCCAGTCCTTTTTATTTTTTAATTTGAGAAAGAATGGCTTAGGGCCTCAATAAATTGCTGAGGCTGGCTTTGAATTTGTGATCCTCCTGCCTCAGTCTTCTAAGCTGCTAGGATTACAGGGGTGCACCATCACACCATCACTTTTAAAATAAAATTTAAAAAGAAAAGAAATACAGCTGCACTGCACAGCTGCTTCGTGCACTGGGGTAGCTGCTAGTTGCACTGGACACGTGCCGGGTCCAAATAAGGAAATGAATTTATTTTAACTAAAAACATTCTTTTGTGGTGTTGAAGATCAAACCCCAACCTCATACATGCTGGGGAAGTGCTCTGCCACTGGATACATCTCAGCCTCTTAAAAATTTAATTAATTTAAATTTAAAAATAAAAGCAGGAGTGGCACAGGCCTGTGATCCCAGTGACGCAGGAGGACTGCAAGTTCAAATCTAGCCTCAGAATTTAGCAAGACCCTGTCTCAAAATAAAAAAATAAAGTAAAAAGGGCTGAGGATGAAACTCAGTGGCACAACATCAACAGATTCGATGTCCAGTGCCAAAAACAAAATTAAAACAACAACAAAGACAGAAGCAATACAAAATATTCTTCCATAAAACACAACTTTATTTTTTGTTTCATTTTGATGATTGAAACGGAGATGTGCCAAAAGTGTAAAATACATACCAGATTTCAAAGATTTAGTATGAAGGAAAAATATAAAATATCTCATTAATATTCTTATTTGAAGATAACATTTGTTATTGTGCTTTTCCCTTAAAATGGTATTTTTATATTGGGTTCACTATATATATATTTTTTTCTGGTGCCAGGGATTGAACCCAGGGATGCTTAACCACTGAGCCACATCCCCCAGACTTTTTATTTTTTCATTTTGAGACAGGGTCTTGCTAGATTGTTTAGAGCCTTTGCTAAATTGCTGAAGCTGGCCTTGAATTTATGATCCTGATCCTCCTGCCTCAGCCTCCCAAGTTGCTGGGATTATAAGCGTGCGCCACTGTGCCCAGCTTGGGTTAACTATAAATTATTTTTTAAAAAATATTTGTTTTTTAGTTGTAGTTGGATACAATATCTTTAATTAATTTATTTATTTTTATGTGGTGCTGAGGATCGAACCCAGGGCCTTACCTGCGCTAGGTGAGTGCTCTACCACTGAGCCACAACCCCAGCCCCATGACCCCAGCCCCACGACCCCAGCCCCAGGTTAACTATATTCTTAAAATTAGTTTTAACTGTCTCCTTTTACTTGTTAAAATGTGGCCACTAGAGAAACTTGAATTATGTATGTGGCTCAAGGGATATTTGCCTTGGAAAGTGCTGTCAACTGTACCATCGAGTTTAGTAGCCCCAAGCCACATGTGGCCACTGAAATTTAACTTAATTAAAATTAAATAAAATTAAAATTCAGTTCCTCAGCAGCATAGTCTCGTCCTGTTTGCCCTATTTGGAGGGAGGGCACAGAGCATTTTCATCATCCCAGGAAATTGCATAGGATCGTGCTCTCTGTAGAAAAAAATTTTAGGTCATTTCTAAGGCAAAACAAAGTTTTTGAAAAAGTCCCACCTAACAACTGATACCCCCAGACCCTCACAGGAAGAGCACACACGGAGCCAGTCACAAAAGCTTGCCACTCTGCATTGCCGCCCTAGTTCTGCCACTTCACCTGTGTTACTATTCACTAAAGGGTTTTGATGAAATCAGCAGTTAATGGACTGCTTCTTGTGTGCGCTGTGGATGGAACTCAGGGCTTCACACATGCTCTGCAAGTGCTCTACTGCTGAGCTGCACCCCCAGCCCAGAAATGGACTCTTTTGTGTGTGCGTGTGTGGGTACTGGGGATCAAACCCAGAGCCTTGTGCATGTAAGCAGGCACTCTGCCAACTGAGCTATATCCCTAGCCCCAGAAATGGACTTTTTTTTAACCTGGTGTCATCCTGAGCAATAATTCCCATGACATTGCATTAAAGATTATATATTTTTCCAACTATTGAAATTAAAATTAAAACATATCCTAAGTTGCCCCACATCCCCTTTCTGCTTCCTCCAAACGTCCCAGGGGCCAATTCTGTGGTTTCTACTGCACTGATGTCTCAGAAAACAGGTTCACCCTCTTCAGCCTGGCCATGGCAGAAGCCTGGTATATGGCCCCTGCATGGACTAGGGGCAAAACAGCAGAGGTGACCCTGAGGCCTTGGGTGTGAAGGGGCAGGGAAAGGTGGCAGAGCTGCAGGCTAAGAAGTGTCCTCAACCAGGCCACAGGCAGGACAGGAAGGAGGAGTACAAGGGAGGGCATCCTAAGTCAACCAGGGGCAGTGTGGAGAGGAGAATTGAAAAAGTCACCCAGGGACAAAAGCTCAGGAATGGAGCCCGGATTTAAGGAGTGGGGGAGAAAAAGGGCAGAAAATGAAGGCAGAATTGCTGGGGGCTTCGTGTGGCAGGAATGAAGGGAGGGTTCTGGACTAAAGGCTTCCTAGAGGTTGTCCTGGGCCTAAGTCAACAGCCAGATAGCCCTTGGAGCAGGACTCAGAGCTAACATGTGTGAGATTTGCATGTGTTTTGCATATTATTTGCATGCTTCTTTTAATAGAAGGCAGCAGATAGACATGGGAACTGGGTACTGGGATAGGACTGTCCCTAACTGGTTCCGTAACTCTCCAGGCCCGTTTCTTATCGGGAATGGTAACTCCAGCTCTTCCTGTGAAGATCAAATGCCGCATGCTGGTCTCCACCCACAGGGCCTTCTCCTCTGCCTCCCTGCCCAGCTGACTCTTCTCATTCTCAGGTCTCAGCTGAGACCTCCTTTCCCCCTGGAAGTCCTCCCCATTGGTTCCCTTTAGCTCATCACCCTGAACTGTTAGCTTAGGAGCTCTTCCCCCTGACCTTGAGCTTGCTGAGGGCAGAATCTAGATCTCCTTTATATGCACTCCCGATGCCTAGAATAGGGGCCTTTATGGAGATGCTAGTTAGTTGGGTGAGTGAGTGAACGGGAGTCTGAGGCTCTGTGGACCGTCCAGAGGCAGGTGTTGGCACTGCAGAACGCAGGAGAAGAAGAGTTGGAGGGCAGCTCTGACAGGCCATCACCTTGTCTGTGGTGTTTCCCTCTCCAAGCTGGGGCTTCCTGGGGACCTGAGAGAGGCTTGCTTACAGCATGATTCCAGGATGAGGAGGGACCGGGAGGAGCAAGGCTAACAACCTAGAGGAGGATGGCCAAGAGAGAACATGGTCTTCAAATCTGCCAGGGACCACCGAAAGTGTCCCTGGAGCTCCAGGAAGGGCTTTGACTCAGTATGAAGAACAGTTTCCTAGAACCCACAAACCCAGGTGAAACAGGGCACTTTTGGAAGCGAACTGCATTCGGTGGACACACGCAGGTGAGGGCTGGTGTCCACTTAGTGGACATTCATGGATTCGATGAAAGAGGAGGGCTGGATCAGATGATCTCTCAGGTCCCTTGCAGCCTGGGAATCCAGGCCAGCAGAGGATAACCTGGCTATCCCTAGAGTCCAGGAGCATCCCCAAGGGGGACTTTCCCTCATCCTCTGGGCATCGTCTCTGCTCAGGTCCTGGTCACCCAGGAGCTCTGGGCTTCAGGACACATCAACCCTCTCCAGGGTTTTAACTGGTTCCTGGCAAAAGAGATGGGAGCAGCCAAAGGGAGTGCTCTTAGGATGTTAGGGGGCCCGCTGGCCAAAAGACAAAGTGGCCATGCCAAATCCGTTTTGGAAGCACTGAGTTAAGTAAGCTGAAGTGTCTCCACGACACGACTTCCCAGAGCCTCAGCTATCCCACCAAGCCCCACAGCTTTGAGCAATGGAGGGCGCATACAGCATCACCCCACTGTTCCTTTTTTTATGGAACAGCCCATGACATGTCACTGAATCAACAATTCACTGAGTGGTAGGGCGATGACAGTGGAAAAACAAGAACCCTTGGCCAGGAGACAGGAGGTGTCTGTCATTCCCAACCCATCTCTGCCAGAAGCTTGGGCAAGTCTGCTCCCTCTGGGCCTCAGTCTCCCCACGTGTGAAATGTGAGTGCCTTCCCTGTTATGGAGCACAGGTCACAACAGCGAGGATAAAAGCCCTGTAAAGCCAGGAAGCCTCGCCCCCTTTGCCTGAAATGCTGAGGCAGAGGAGACCTGTTAGGGTTTCCTCCAGGACAAGCCTGACCTGCAGCCTTCTCAGAAGCAGGGCCCCTTGAGACCCTTCCATGCTACTACTAGGTGCTGACCCAGGGGAGGATCAGGGTGCCAGGGAGAGAGGTTCAAAGGGGAGCAAGTGTAGGCCATGGCTTGGGCTGGAGGTTGAGGGGAGACCGGAGGCTCTTGTGATTCAAGGAGGCTGGGGAAGGGGCTAGAGTTTTCAGGGTCCCTGAAGGTCTGGGACGATGGTGGACGGCAGATGGGTCCTGGGAGTTGGAGCTCTTCAGGAAAGGGTCTGGAAAGGACGGGGTCCAGACCAGCTTTGGCGCTGGGTTCAGTGGAGACCTGGATGGCCACTGTAGGTAGGCAGGTTCCAGCTGTGTCTGGCCTGGACACAGTCTTCAGACCAACCTGCTGCTAGCCACCTGCTTCCCCCTCCTAAGGGCCTTCTTGCCCGGCTGGGGGCAGGGCCCTGGGGGCCCTCTGTCCCTTCAGGCCCCTCCGGTCTGGAAGGCGGCCTGTGGGGCGCCCTCACCTCCACCAGCGGGTAGGCGATCTCGTTGTAGATCTGCTCGGTGACGTGGTCCATGTAGTAGGCGCCGTCGAAGGTGAACTGCTTGGGGGGCTCGTCGGCGGCGCCCGGGTTCTGGATGAAGCACTGGCCGCGCGCGCAGTCCACCGTCACCACGGCCTGGCAGTTCAGCTCCCGCTCGCGCTGGTTCATGGGCCGGCAGCGCACCACCACCTTCACCG